CGCTGACCGAGCTGTGGCCAGCGTGATGCAACCAGGGTCAATTAAGCTGCTACCACAGAGCCTCACAGGGCACACTAAGTGCCAATTTTCTGCGCTGCTGAAGAGGTAAAGAATGAAAATGAGAGCCAACAGGAAGTTGCAGCTGAAAAGAAAGAGCCACTTGGGAGATGGGAGCTGAAGGCTGGACTCGGGGCAGCGATGAGACGAGCAGGGAAGTGCCACTGCCACTGCCACAGCAACCTGCAGCAGCTGGGAACGCTCTGCTGCCCCAAACCCTGGGCAGAACACGGGCTCTGGAGCTTGGCACGGGGCTGGCAGCACGCAGAGCCAAGCCTGGTGGGGCACAGCAGCCACCCCGGGAAGGTGGATCCTCTGCCTCCCTTGAGGCACCGGCCCTCTGCCCTTCTGGAGAGAGGAGAAGATGGGTGGGAAGGGGAGCAGGCAGAAATAATGGGGGGTCTCGGGCTGCCACTCCCACCCTGCTCGTCCATGGAAGTGTCCTTTCCACTCTCTGCCCTGCTTTTTGCAGGAGCTCAGAGAGAAGAGGGCAGGTTCATTCATTCCCCTGTGGGTCCTGGGTGTTTTTTTGGGAAGGAAATTCCGGGCATGGCACAGGGCTCTGGCCGGGCACTGCAGGAACAGACGGCACAACTGGTTTGCGAGGGGAAGTTCCCCGTCTGAGCGGAGTTTTCTCCTCTCTTTGGGAAGCAACACCCCTGCTGACGCTTCCCGAGGATGAAATGGCTGCGCGGAGCCCGTGGCTCGTTCATTCCCGCTCCTTGCGCTCCCTCTGCAGGAGCGGGCGGCTGCCGGGGCCCGGAGGGGCCAGGGGGGCCGGGGGTCGCCGCCAGCCCACGCTCGCAGCCCGCACCAGGCTGGCACTTGTGGCACGAACCCTTCGGGGTGAGGCCGGGGGGATTCACCTGAATGGCTTAAATCTATTTCCGTGTGCGTGAGGAAGGATGCTCGGGGACCGGGCTGAAGTTTGGGCTTCGGTAAACTGGGGGTGATGGCCTCAGGGCTCCGGGGAAAGGGGGAAAGGGGGACCTGCCCCAAGAGGGAGAAACTGCGGCGTGGGAGATGCTCACCAGAGCAATACCTCAATGTCCCTGGCTGGGGTGGGGCCCAGAACCAAACCTTCGCACCCTCACAGCTCCTCTGGTCCAAAATGTGTCCCCAGATAAATCTGCTGCCGTCCCCACTGCCCCAGGGGCCCTGCCCTCTCCTGCCCCGCGGCTCCGCCTGTCCCTGCCGTGTCCCGCAGGACAAAGCGACACCTCCTGCCGGCAATCCGCGGGCACATCCCCTGCCCTTAGATCCCCCTCCCCAGCCTTGCCCGGCTCAGCGCAGCTCCCCATCCCCTCTCCCTGCAGCCGCAGGGCCGCAGCTCCCTCTGCAAGCGGAGGAGAGCTTTTCCCACCCCGTCAGGGGCTAGGCTGCCAAATTCCAGCCGAGAGCAGCATTTTTACGGCGTGACACCAGTGGGGCCCCGGCAGGAGCCGGCGTGAGCTGCGGGCGCTGCCCCGCCAGGCGCCGGTACCGGCGGAGCGGCGGCCGGTGCGCCTCCGCTTCCCCCGCGGCAGCGCTCGCCAAATTATTACAAAACATCCTCCCTCCTTCCCCCCCGGCTCCAGGGCGCTGAGACGCCCTCCCCACCCTTTTCCATCCCCTTCCTTCCTCCCCGCTCCTTCCCAGGCAGCTGCTACGCCAGCGGCTGTCCGAGGAGCCGCGGGACAGGTGGCAGAGAGTGACAGAGCTTGCGACAAGCCTGCAGCTGCAAAGGTAGGGAGGAGAAGGGAGCTGAGGGCTGGGGCGCTCCCCCAGAGCTCGCCTACCCAGGCTGGAGGGAGGAGGAGAGCAGGGACCGAGCGCTGCCGGGCTGCCCGAGGTGCGGGGCTGCCCCCGGCTCCAGCAGCCCCTGCCATGGCAAAGCCTGGAGGGCACCTCTGGACAGCACCAGCACCAGTCTGCCCTCCAGGGAGCTGCTCTCACGGTGTTCTGCCGGGCAGAGCGGGCACCGGCACCTGCCGGGCTCTCCTCCAGAGCCCCGCGGTGCGATCCGCCGCCAGGCCGCTGTTGTGGCTCTGTTTTGGGTTGCTAAGGAGCCCGACGGGAGGATGATGTGTGCTGGCACGCTGCTCACACAGCCTGCCCTCCCTCGGGACCCTCGCGAACGGGGGATGCCCCCAGAGCTCCGAGGCAGCTGGCGGGGCTCAGGCAGGGCTCTCCCTGTCCCAGGAGCTGTGCTGCTGCTCTGCCGGCACCGGAGGGCACGGCTGAGCTGCTCCAGGTACCCCTCGAAGCCTGGTGCTGCCAGCTCCGGGCAGGTTTGCAGCTGGTGGCTCCAAGGAGGCATTTAAACAAACGCCATCCATGTGACAGACCGGGCTCTCAGTCACAGACCCTGCAAACCTCTGCCAACCTCTGCCCCGGGCAGCAGAAGGGCTTGGCTGCCTCTTTCCCAGGCACATGGAAATTTCCATGGAATTAGCACGAGGATAATTATTCCCAGCTGCCCCTGGCAGGCCACAGTGATGCTGCTGGCCAGCTCCAGTGCTCCTCGGGGTGCAGCAGCCCCACCTGAGCCGAGTCCTGCTGCTGAAGAGCAGAACCTCACAGCTGGGGCACATCTGGCTGCTGTGTGACTGGCACCCAGCCCCGTGGGCACCCAGCCCTGCCTGCAGTGGCAGCTCTCAGGCAGGGTGCTGTGACATTGGCTGCTTCAAGGTGCTGTGACACTTGTCCCAGCTGGGAAGTAAAGCCTCTGGTGCAGCTCTGCTCACCTCCAGAGCCCCAGGTGGGGCTGGGGGCTGCTCTGGGACTCCTGGGGGTCTGAGCATCGCCTGTCACTGCTCTGAGGCCCAGGATGTGGCTCAAAGGCGGTGACACTGATCCTGTTGTCCTGAGGAGCTGGGAAAAGCTTAATCAGGTTTTTTTCTGCCAGTTTGTCAGGTTGAGGGAGCTCTGGGGAGTGTGGTGAAGGACGTCACCACGTGGGTTCACCTCAGGGTTCTTGGATTTGGAAACTGGTTTTTTCTCTGCTGGAGTGCTACATGATCGTCATTTAATTTTGGTGCCTTCCCCCTCCTGACGTTCCCTCCAGGGTCTGCCGGGAAAGGCAGCAGTTTCCCAGCAATCCGTGTGTGTTTACTCCTCACAGGGTGGGACCCTGCCAAGGAGGGTGGGGACTGTGGCCGAAATTGCCGAGCCTGGAGCCTCAGCGCTGCCGTGTCCCCCGCCGCCTGTCCCTGGCTTACTTGGCGTCCGTGGGCCCTTCCCGGATTTTTGAATGCTGTTTTGTAATGTGTGTGTGCTTGAACCTTGGCTCCTGCTCAGATTCACCAGTTTAGACCCCTGCTCCTGCAGGATGCACTTTGACAGGAAATGCTGAATTCCTGCCGCTGGGTAGCAGTCCTCAGCTCAGCAAAGCCTGGTGCAAGCATTTTAAGCATTTTTTCATTTCTGGGATGAGCTGCTGGAGCCTGGATGCAGCACCCCAGCCTGGAGTGCAGGCAGGTCCTGGCAGCTGCTGTCCCACAGATGGAGATGTCCCAGCCTGGCCCATCCAAATGCAGCACTCAGAAATGGCTGGAGGAAATTCCTTTGAAACCAAAGGCGCAGGAATGGAAGGGCCAAGCCCTGGGAATTCTGCCCGTGCCCGAGCCTGGCCCCTGGGCACGCTGACTCCACAGGAGGATGCTGAGCAGGGACTGCACATCCACTGCCAGAGCTCACCCCTGGCTGTTCCCCCAGAGCAGGGATGAACAGAGGCAGAGGCAGGGACTGCACATCCTCTCCCAGAGCTCACTGCTGGCTGTTCCCCCAGCAGGAACGAGCAGAACAGAGGCAGGGACTGCACATCCACCCCCAGAGCTCACTGCTGCCCATTCCCCCAACCTGCACATCCACTGCCAGAGATCACTCCTGGCTGTTCCCCCAGCAGGGATGAGCAGAGGCAGAGGCAGGGACTGCACATCCTCTCCCAGAGCTCACTGCTGCCCGTTCCCCCAGCAGGGATGAAGAGAGCAGGGACTGCACATCCACTCCCAGAGCTCACTGCTGGCTGTTCCCCCAGAGCAGAGATGTACAGGGGCAGGGACTGCACATCCTCTCCCAGAGCTCACTGCTGGCTGTTCCCCCAGAGCAGGGATGAGCAGAGGCAGAGCGTGTCCTGGGCTGCAAGGGGAGGAGGCACACAGTGACACACGGCACATAACGGGCAGTGTTTGGCCTTTACAGCCCACGCAGGAAGGCAGAGCAGTCCAAAACCCACTCCAAGGGCTGCATCTTGGGCCTGGGAACCCAAAAGTCATCTCCTCACCTTCTGCACTTGCTGCCAGAACCCACCAGGGCCTGGGGCTTCTGGCCAGTTTCCCCAGGGAAAGCAGAGGAGGGGAAGGGGCTGCCAGGCTGTGGCTGGGTTTGGGGCAGACCTGTCCCTGTGCCACGCTCAGAGCCACTTCCTGATGGCTTTCCCTTCACCCACGTGGCTGCGGTGCAGTGCCAGGTGGCTGCAGCACCCCAGGACAGGTGTCACCAGTGGTGCAGGTGGCACCAGTGGTGCAGGCAGGTGCCAGCAGTGCCCGGGCTGCTCAGTGGGGTGCAGGGAGTTCCTGCAGCGCTGCCAGGGATTATCTGGCCTCATGCAGCAGGCAGGGCCCCACGTCACCTGACCCAGCCCTGGTGACCAGCCTGGTGACAATCACAGCCCCTGACTGCTCCCCTGGCTCGCCGGCAGCACAGGTAACACTCGCCCCTCCCGGGGGGCATCTCGGGGCTCTGGGGTGGTCGGGGTGTTGTGGGAGCCCCCCTGCACACAGAGGGGTCCCCGTGGCTGTGCATGGCTGAGCTGAGGGCACGCTGGGCACCGTCACAGGCAGGAGGGCAGTTGAGCCTGGAAAGTTTTTCATCCAAGGAAAGTTTGGTTGGGGTTTTTTTTTTAAATTTTTTTTAGGAAGGTGAGAGCTTGCAAGGGCACTGACACTTTTCTTGCCAAAAAACACAGCAGCTCCAGCCAGAACACCCTGACAGGAGCGAAAAAAAAAAAAAAAAGATTAATATTCCAGTTTTCAGTTTCTCAAAAGTAAAAAGCCTCAAGTGTTGTCAGACATGGATACATTCCCAGGCACTTTAATCAGCACGCCAACCAGGACGTTTCCTTACCAGGGTCACCTCTGAGCTTTTAAAATGCGACCTTAAATCTTCCTCCCGTGGAGGGGTCTGGCTGCTCCCAACATCGGGGCTGGCTCGTTGGCTTCCCCTGCAGGGCAGCATTTGGGAAGGGGCTGTTCTGCTGTTCTCAGGGCAGAAATTACCCCAGCACTTTATCAGGGCTTCTTGACGGAGATCAGGTGCCCTGGACAAGGGGCTCAGACCCCAATTTCTCGTTGAATGTGCAGTATGAGAGGCTGTGCTGGTGGCTGAATAACCACCTGGATAACGACCTGCTAAATGAGCAGCTTCAGCTCGGGCAGCAGGGAGAATTCCTTCATGGAAAGAGTTGTCCAGCGCGGGCACAGTCACCATTTTTGGAGGGATTTAACAGACCTGTAGATGTCACACCTGGGGACACGGGGCAGCGCCAGCCTGGGCAGTGCTGGGTTATTCAGTGTTGAGCTTTTTCCAGGGCTTTTTCCACCCCAAACCATTCCGTGGATGAATTATTCCCACACTCCTGCCCCGTGCCAGCCCCGCATCCGCCCGGCTCCTGCTGGGCTCGCGGTTCTGCCCCTCGGGGAGGGTCCAGAGGGGTTCCCCAGCCGGGGAGGGTCCGGGGGGCTCCGAGCGGCACCCACCGCCCCCAGCCCCCCCCGAGCCCGGCCGAGCCCCCGCCCTCCTCCCGCTCTCCCTCCCTGCCTCCCGCCCGCGGAGGAGGCAGCGCCGGGACCGGCGGAGAGGCGGCAGCGAGCCGGGCATGGGGGCGGCCCAGAGCCGGGCCCCCCGAGCCCCCCGGGACCCCCGGGCCCCGCCGCGCCGGTGAGTGGGGGGCAGCGGTCCGCGGTGGGTCCCGTCCCCCCGCGCGTGGGAGCGGAGCGGGCTCGCCGCGCCGGAGGCGGCAAAGCGGAGAGCGAGGTTGGGTTTGCGGGGAGAAAGTTCCCTTCCCCTCTGTCCTCCTCCCCCGCCGCACTTCGCTCCCCACCTGAACCCCCCATCCCTGGTGTCAGCTCAGCCCGCGAGGGAAGCTGGGCTGCCTCTGGACCCCCGGGTGTGGGGTGGGCTGAGGTGGGGGCTGTGGGGGTCTGCAGGCTGGGGGGGCTGGGGCTGGGGGAGCTGGGGCCGGGCTGTGGTGGGGGTCTGCAGGCTGGCGGAGCTGGTGGGGGTCTGCAGGCTGCAGGAGCTTGGGCTGGGCTGGGGGAGCTGGGGCCGGGCTGTGGTGGGGGTCTGCAGGCTGGGGGAGCTGGTGGTGGTCTGCAGGCTGTGGGAGCTTGGGCTGGGCTGGGGGAGCTGGGCCCAGGCTGGCCTGGGGGAGCTGCTCCCCACCAGCTGCTCGGGCGCTGGGAACTGAAAAGGAGACACTTGGGAAGGGGAGACGCTTGCTGGGATCAAAAGGAAAAGTGGAAATATCTTATCTGCGAATCAAGCAAAACACTGTTGAGAACAGACGTGTTTTCTTTAAGCGGGGACCCTGTGAGGCTGTGTGTTTGCAAACAGTGGGCTCAGACAAGGAAAACAAGTGTGTTCTGCCCTTGTAACTGCTCGGTCCTTCCTTTATTTCCTGCACTCATCTCCTGCCTAGACATTAGAGGTGTTTTCAGGTGGAAAAGCTGTGCCAGTGTTGCCTGCGTGGCTGGAGCTGCTTCTTTCTGCCCCGTTGGACTCAGCTGCTTCTCCTTCCCACCTGTTTGCTCCACCTTGAGCAAACTTTGTTTTGTTCCTCCTGCCCTTTGTCATGTTCCTGGTCCCTGTCCCTGTCCTGGCTGTTGTCCTCGCTCTTTGCTGTCCCCATTCCTGCTGGTTGCCCAGGTTATGGGTTAGGGTGCTGCCTGCATTTCCCAAAATCACGGAGTCTGGAGTAAACTCAGGGATCTGAGGCCTGACAAGCACCTGATAAAAGCATTCCTGCCACATAGCTCAGATATTTTTAGCAAAGGGAGCAAAGGAGCTGAAGGGGGAGTCAATAAGCTGCATGATGAAGGCAGCTGCTTGTGTTCAGTGTGGAAATGGGGCTGGAGCCTGTTCCTTTTCAAATGAGCTCGCACCCACACGAGTGCATCAGCGAGATTAAGCTGTGCTTGGCATTTTTAAAACGCAGGAATAGCAGAGCATTCATTATCCCATCGGTCCTTTTCAGTGCAGCCACAAATGTCTGTATTTATCCATTTGCTGGCAGTCTGGTGGGGAAAGGCAGCTGGAGCCCGGGGCAGGCTGCTGCTGTCCAGGCTCGTGTGTGACACTTGCGTCCTTTATTTCTATTTCTGTAGCGCTGCTTTGATGGAATGTGCAGCGATGGGAACTGTCACATCCCAGGCCGGGAAGGGTCCCGGGGGAGCTGAGGGGCTCGGCAGCGCTGTCCCACGCTGGGTATGGCTTTGGAGCTCGGCAGCGCTGCCGCAGGGGGTGACACCGGGGCTCCTCTGCGACATTCCAGCTCCCTCTGTGCTCTGGGGCAGATGGCAGAGCCCGAGATGGGAGCAGGTTGTCTTGAATTCCGGGGTGTCGTTCTGCTCGGTCCGCGCAGAGGTGTCCGGGCTGGGGTTGTGCCAGGGTCGGGAGGAGCAAAAGGAGCCCTGCGCTCCGGGGCCGGAGAGCTCGGCAGCGCTCGAAACCCATCCTGGGGAGCCCTCTAGCGAGAGCAGCGCCCGCCCGAGCCCGCCGGGCTCCCGGGGCCGCCGCCGAGCCCGGGACATGCCCCGGGGCTGTCACACCGCGATGCTCCCGCACCTGGGGAACGCCCGGGATGCTCCGGATGCTGCCGCACGCAGGGGATGCTGATCCCTGAGCAATAGAATAGGTCGGAATAAAACGCAGCAGCAGAAAAATGCTCCTGAAACACCTTGGACCTCCTCTCCTGCAGGAGATAAATGCTGGGTGGATAAGGTGCTTATTACAAGCTGCGGGTGGGGGGATTTACACAGCAGTGAAATATGGATTCGTGGTTTTTTCTGCGTGATGATCTCTGGGTTTGTTGCCACCTTCCCCTGCTGTCCTTGTGTCCCATCCTGGTGTTGCCTGCAGGTCCTGGCAGGGGAGTGAAAGGCCCCACTGCAGAGGAGCAGAGACAGGAGTGGAGAGGAGAAATGAAACCCCACAAAAGATCTGCTTCTGAGCTAGAAATGTCAGTTCTGGCTGCTGTGTCATGCCCAGAAAAGCTCCGAAGCCAGAAATAGGTGTTCTTCTGCCTAGTGAAAGGGCTGAGAAGGGAAATTCCAGGTGCACGCCTTCCTGTGGCCTGGGGCACTGCAGCTCCACACGCCACAGGTGTGGCTGTGTGATTCCTGCTCCTCAGCGTTATTCCCTGTGCCCTTCCTGGGAACCGAGGTGCGGGACACCAAGTTCATCCCCAGTGTGAAGGGAAGGCCCATCTGGATGAGAGCTGTTATGACACCGAGAGCAGTTGTGCACGCTGTGTTTTTGGGGTCAGGCAGAGGCTCTGCTCTCAGACTGCCAGGAGGAAGTTCATCCCCAGTGTGAAGGGAAGGCCCATCTGGATGAGAGCTGTTATCCCTGGATGCAGCTGGCTTCCTGCAAGGATAAACATGAAAAGCTTAAGCAAGGTTTTGCTCCTTTTTGCAGCTTTTGTGATGACAGGGCTCTTCTAGTTCCAAAATATTTGGGGTTCCACCTGTCCTCTGTGCAGCAGGGGCTGCTGCATTCCCCTCCTGGGAAGTGCAGGCAGTGTGAGAACCCTGGATGGGATTTTAGGCAGCTCAGCACAGCCAGAGATGTCTGTGGGCTGCACGTCCCTGTCTCTGAGCCGTGTGTGTGTGCAGGGCTTGGCACAGAGAGTCCTGTGACAGCAGAGAGGGAGGGGACAGCCGTGCCAAGGACAGCCCGTGCAGCTGCTGCCTGTGTGGGCTGCATCTCTCTGCCAGGATGGAAACTGCTGGCAGGTGTTTTTAAGCAGGTCAGCACCCTCCCTGCTCTGCAGAGATGTGTTTGCTGACTGTGCCAAGCGGCGTTTGGCAGGCAGAGCCTCCGGTGTGCCTGACAAAGTCAGGTCATCTCCTCGCTGGTGATTTGCAGCCGGTGCTGCTGCCAGGCTGGGTCAGGTGCCAAGCTGGAAAATGCCACTCGAGGCATTTTCTTAATTGCTCCTCGGTTGCAGCAGGTGGAAGCAGGCTCTGCCCCTGCACTGCTCTGCTATCTTGCTGCCCCAGGGCCCTGCGAGTCAGGAGCTCTGCAGGCAGCTGGCTCAGTCCTGCTGATCCTGTTCCTGCTGGCTCCTTCCAGGGGTGCTGGGTGGGATTGGGATCCTCGCTGGATGCCGTGTGTGTGCACAGCCTGCACAAGGACGGGTCCTGATGATTTCCTGCTCTCATGTGCTCCAGTTTCCTCATCCAGCAGGAGCTGTAGGAGTCAACCTGTCACACGCAGCTCCTTCCCTCTGCAGTGGAGGTGCCTCGTCCCTGCTGCCATGCCAGTGCCTCTGCTGCTCCTGCTGCATTTTCTCGTTCCCCTGTGAGGTCCCTGAAGAGTTCCTCAGCTGCTCTCGACTGCTGCTGCTCCCTGGGTTCAGGGGGAGGCGGGAAGGGGAAGCGGGAGCAGCAGGAGGATGAGGTCAGGCTGCAGCGTGTTGCTGCAGCGCGGCTCACGCTGAGGATCTGATGTAAAATTCATCTGCAGAAATCAGCTCTGCCTCTTCGGGGAAGTGGGCTGTGCTCTGCAGCCATGGGCGACAGGATGTTGAGCTTCTGCTTTTGCTTCAGACTCGTGGTTTTTTGGCTAAGCTTCAGTAAGAGTCAGTCCCCTCTTGCTCGGTGTCCTCAACCTGGCAGCAGGGGAGTGTGCAGGGTCCCTTGTCCCCAAGCCCTGGGGATGTGGGGCCAGCGTGGTGCAGGGGCTGAGCTGTTCCCTGGGGCCCACTGCCTCTCCTGCCACTGACCCGTGGTGGGAACTGGCAGCACCTCAGCTTTGGTTCACCCAGAGAAGCCTTTGGGGAAGCTTAGAGTATTGTGGAAAGGGGTAAGAGATTTTCTTTTCAAGAGGATGGGCAGTAAAAGCACACAGGAATGACACATATACCTAATAAGGACACCAAGAGAGGGAGGCCTGGAGAAAGGATCCCTGCAGGGAGGTTATTTGAGATGCTCAACGGTGAGTACCGAGCCCTTTGAAGCTTCCAGAGGCAGCCAGACCAGATGGACAGGTCTGCTGTGGCCCGGGGGCCTCTCTGGCCATGCAGAGGCATTCCCAGCCCCCAGAGCTGGCTGATGATTCACAGGGAAGCCGTGGCTCAGCCTTGGTGAGCTCTTGGTGAAGTCAGCGGCAGCGGGCCAGGCTGCTTTCACAGCAGGACAGTTGTGTGCCCTTCCCGAGGCCATCCCTGGCGCCGGGGTGAAGCAGTCAGGGTTCCGGGGAGCTGCCAAAAGTCCGGAGCCAGCAGCACCAGTGCCCGTGGCAGATCTGCAGCCGAGCCCTGGGCATTCCTGCCCGTGCTGTGTCAGTAATGTTATCCTCCTCTCTCTAGCAGGCGTGTGGGAAGTGATGAATTTGGGAGTGGGAGCCGCCGTTAGGGGAGAAGTTCCTGAGGGAAAGCTCCCGAGGGAGGCCAGCAAGGCTGATCTCTGTGAGAACTGCTGGCTGTTATTTTTAAACAATGGTTTAATAAATAAATAAACTTGCTGCCACGGAAGGATATAGCATCAGCCAGGGCTGTGGAGGCCGGTGTTTCCTTGGAAAATGGAAAGGGCAGGTGTTTCCCTCCCCGTGTTTGGCTCCTCGGCTCTGGAAAGCCCCCTTCCTTGGGAAGGAGCAAGCCTTCCCGGTGGGACCGAGTCTTCCTGGGGGGACTGAGGGTCCCTGGGCGCTGCCTGCCCCCCGGGGCAGTTCCCCACCCGCCTGGGGTCTTCTCGGGCACGCCAGAGTGGAAAGAATCTGCGTCCTGCCGGCTCTGTGACAGCACAGGTGCAGCCGCACAGATGTGGGATAAACCGGGATCTGCTTTCACCGCTCCCTGCCCTCTCACGGGGGGCTCCCTGCGGGAAGGAAGGCGGGGGTGCCAGCGCCGTGCCCAGCCCCGCCTTTGGGCAGAAACCGGCGAATTTGGCAGCTGGACCAGGGGGGGCTGTCACCCCCCGGGCCGGGAGGGGCGGCGGGCGGCGCGGGGCCGGGGCCGGTGCCGGTCCCTCCCGGCGGCGGGCGCTCCCCGCCGCCAGTGCGCGGTGCGGGGGCGGCCCGGGCGGAGCGGAGCGGAGCGGGGCGCGATGGGGCCGCAGTGAGCCCGGCGGGGAGCGCAGCGCAGCGGGGCCGATGGCGTTCAGCGCCTGGCAGATCCTCTCGCCGGTGCAGTGGGCCCGCTGGACATGGTCGGCGGTGCGGGGCGGGGGCAGCCCCGAGGAGGAGGGGGACGGCGGGGCCGGTGCTGCCGAGGAGGAGGATGAGGAGGAGCAGGAGCCGCCGGCGGGGGGCTCGGCCCTCGGCTTCAGGCAAGTCACCCGCGGCCCCTTCCCTTCCCTGCCCGCATCCGTGCGGGGCTGCGGGCGCGCCCTCCCCGGCTCTCTCCCCATCCTCCCCTCGCTCGCTGCCTGGCTGCCGGGGGCTGGGGGGCCGGGAGATGCTGCCCGGAGGATGCTGCGCTCCGGAGCGGCGTGCGGGATGTGCTGCGGGGCTGCATGTCCTCGGAGGGGCCGTGCTGCGTGCTCAGCCCGGGAGCGACCGGGCCGCCGGCAGGGCTGGGGTGCACGGGGCGCTGCTGGCCACGATGTTTCACCTGCTCTCCCTTTTTTGCTAGCACGTCCCGCAGGACAGGAGCGAGAGGCCGGCCCGGATGGGCAGCCTGCAGCCTGGCTGGACGTGTAGGCTGTGGAGGATTTCACAGGTAGCCTTGAAAGCAGTAATTCCTCACTCTTTTCCCCCCCTCCTCGGCAGCTCGGACTCCACTGATAATTTTGAGACCCCCGAAGCAGAAACACCGAGCTGCTCGCCTCTCAAGGAGTTCTGCGAGCCACCGGGATCGCCGGAGCCTGAGGCCGGGACCCAAGGTAAAGAGCCAGCGTGCTCCTCCTGCTCTTGGTGCTCTGCTCCACGGCAGGAAGGCAGGGTGGGGTCCAGGAGTCAAATTCTCTGACTTTGAGTAATGCCTGGCGCACTTTTGGTGGTTAATGGCCTGGGCAGTTCAAATGTCAGGGCTGGGCTGGGCGCTGCCCATCACAAAGAGCTGTGATGGGCTCACCGGGAGGAATCCCAGGGTGCTGTTGAATTGCTTTATCAGTTAAACGTTCCTCTGAGGCTTCCTCTGCAGCCTGGGGGCTGCCCTGGCTGCTGCTGGGACCTTTCTCGTGTGTCCCTCGCCCCTGGCTCCTGCACAGGAGTGGCAGGATGCCAGGTCTGTGTCCCCCAGGCTGCTCAGTGCTGGGGATTTCATTGCACAGGCCGTTTTTCCTTGGAGTTAGATGTGTCCTCACTGAGTAGCTGCTGTTAAAGATGCAAGAGCTCAATGCTGCTAAACCTCAGGTTTTGAGAAATTGCAGGGGATCTGCTCTAGTTGCATGGGGTTTCCCTTGCTGGGATTCCCTGAGCTGTTCTGCAGGTTTATCCCTGCATCCCACGCTGCTGCTGCTCCCCTGAGTGTGGCTCCCCATTAGCCCACGGCCTTCTGAGCTCCAGCTCCCCACTGTCTCCATTCCCTCCTCTTCAGGGGTTTGTGCTGGTGCCCCTGGCTGATCTTGGTGTTTATCTCTGTTTTTGTGCTGCTGGGAGGAAGCCTTGGAGCTCTGGCACTGCTGCAGCAGCCCGCAGAGGGTTATCAGGGCAGGGAGGAGATCTCCCTTCCACGTGCTCTCAGTGGCTGGGCAGTGCCAGGGTGTTTGTGAGCCCCGGGGTGCAGGAGAGGAGCCTCTCCAAGGCACTGGGCAGTTTGTGGTGGGTCAGGCAGTCCTGGACAGGCCATCCTGAGCATTCCCTGCCCCTCATGCTGCAGACCCTGGTATTGATGTGCAATGTTGTGCTTTCCTTCAGTGCAGCAGTGGTTGGGAACTTTTTGTGGGGCTGTTTTCAGAGCAGTGGGCTCGGCCCAGACCTTCTGTGGGGTCCTTCTGTGCAGAAGCCCAGGCAGAGGACGCTGTGGCTCTCCATCTCCTGTGGTGTTGCTGTGCTTTGGGGTGGATCTGGGTGCTCATCCATCCCTGTGGGAAACTCCTGTTTGTCTGCTGTGATGGAGGGAGTGCTCTGTTCGTGCTTCCAGTAATCACAGCTCTTGGAATAATCCTTTTAAGAAAAGATGATAGAAACATCTTTACTTTGGGGATAATGCCTGGGAAAGGGGGGAGATATAAAGGCTTTCCTAGCAGGTAGGAGGATCATTTCTGGCACAGCTTAGGGAAGCACATTGCTTCAGGCTCTGGGGTGCCCGGGTGCCCCTTGTCCTGGGATGAGCAGCTCCTGCTCAGCAGCGAGGGAGTATCTGCTCCTGCACACAAAGCTCCCAGTGTTCTGGAGATGGGGGCATGATCTCCAGCAAAAGCTGTTTTTCTGTGCTGCCTGGCAGAGAGTGGGATGTCAGAGCGGGCAGAGCCAAACTGGTGCCACCACACTTGGCTCCAGCCCTTCCCTGTCCCTGTCTGTGTCTGTTCACTTTGTCAGGAATGGTGGAGAGAAAGGATTTGCCCGGCTGTGGGTGGCTTTGCAGTGTGCAGAGGCACCCTGGCTGCCACAGCACCAGTGCAATCCGTGTGTTGAGGCCTCACCTTTGCATTCTGCTGCTGCACAGCCCCTTGGGGGCTGGCTGCAGCTCGGGAATCCTGTGTCGTGGCTGCTTGGCAGCACAGGGAGCTGCTCCCTGCTCCCTGCAGTGCCTGGGGAGCAGCTGCTGGCCCTGCTGGGCTCTGTGGGGGCAGTGCCAGGGCTGTGCCCACGGGCAGGCACAGCACCCCTGGCCTTGAGGGACAGCCAGGAGCAGGCACTGTCTGCTGTGCAGGGGAATAAACAGGGTGAGGAATGACAGAAGCTGTGACTCCAGGGCTGGCTGCTCCACGCACAGCCAAGAGGTGACCTGGTGTGTCAAACCCTGTCCTTGGGGACAAAAATTCATCCCTGGGGGTGCTGCAGTGAGGGTTTGTGCCCACTCAGGATCACTCAATTTCCTCTTGTGGTCTCGGATGGTGGGACTATTTCCATCCCACTCTTGCTCGAGCTGTCTGCAGTGGTGGGACTATTTCCATCCCACTCTTGCTCGAGCTGTCTGCAGTGGATATTTGGCAGAAGGAAATGAGCAGAAGCAGCAAACGTGGAGCCAGCAGTGCTGGGAGCTGCCGTTGCCCTGATGCAGGGCACGTGTTTTCCGGTGCCTTAGCAGCATCCTCCCTCTGCCGGTATGCTAATTCTTTACAGAATGGATTTAAAAATAGATCAAGGCCTGGTAGACACAAACGGAAAGCGGTGGTTGGTGCTGTGGGGCTGAGCTGGGTGTGTGGGGCAGATATCCTGTGCTGAGGCAGGGAAGTGTGACTCAGAGAGCACTGCCCTGAGCTGGAGAGCAGAGGGGCTGTTCTGGCACAGGGAAAGGGCTCTGAGCCTTTGCCTGGCAGCACTGCCAAGTGGTTCGTTGGAGGGATGGCACGTTGGAAAGCTGTTTAAGTCGGTGTTTGTGTTTAATTTCAGACAAGCAAAGCAGTTATAATGCAGAGGCACAACGTGTCTATTACTGCGGTGCCAGACTGTCCTGCCTGCGTTTCTTTAGAAAGTAAAAAAGAAAAATCCCCGTTTTCACTTTGTAGCATCCCCTGCAGGTACTCACCTGGATGTGGAGCAGGTTTGCAGCCTGAGCACTGCCAGGACAGCAGGTGTGGGTGAGATCCTGCTCCCTGTGCTGCGTTTGGGACAGACCCTGGGCTCACTGTGTGTGCTGTGCTCTGCCATTGTCCATGCTCCTGCTGGGACTGAGCTGTCCCCACTGCAGGGTGCAGTGCCAGGGGTGGAACAGGACACCTCAGGGACACCTTTCTGGGATGCTGCAGTGTGGATCTGCTGGGATGCCTGGCTGGTCCGAGGGGCAGAGCTGCTCCCTGGTTGCCAGCCCGCCTTCTCCTGGGCTGTTCAGCACAGGTTTGGCCCAGAAGGAGGATCTGAGCAGTGACAGGGCTGGGGGACAGCTGCAGGAGTGGGGGACAAGCTGGTTTCCCTGGCAGGGAGTACGTGCAGAGCCAGCACGGCTGCTCCCAACGTGACTGCCTGGGGCTGGGGGAGAGCTGCAGGAGGAGCAGGGAGAGCTGCAGGCAGCGTGCAGGGCTTGGGGAGGGCTCGGTGGGGACAGCCAGGGCTGCACTGAGGTGTCACAGGGCTGGGAGCATGGCCTGGCTCTTCCTGTGCACCCCAAGAGCCGCTGCTTCTGCATCCTGTGTAATTGTTCCTCCTGTGTTTGAGGCAGAAGAAATGTAGAGGGGGAGGAACTGTGGGAACCCCCCCAAGCTTGCAGGAGGGACGTTTCTGCTGCAAAATATTTCCAAAGCCATCAGAGAGCACCTGAGCCTGCTGCCTCCCAGTACATCCCAGTTCCTTAGCTCCCAGACTGGCTGCAGGAGGGGCTGAGGAGCTGAGCACCCCTGGGTGCAGAAAACAAGGCAATCACAAAGCTGCAGAACCTGGGTGGGTTCTTCCTCTGATTTTTGTGGGAAAACAATTCTGAGCTGCGGCCACACGCCCCTTTCCTCCCCCCACTGCAGACACCAGGGCATGGAGAGGCAGCTTGTGTGCTGGCTGCTTGTTATTCAAGGAGTAATTACTCATTGCTTGGGTTAGAAACCAGGATGGGCTCATGTCTGTGAGAGCGGCGGCTGCCAAACCCTCTGCTGGCAACGCAAAATGCACTTCAATAGTCCTTTTGCCCTGACTTTGAAGTCTGCTCTTCTGTTCAGGGCTGTCTCAGGAAGGCTTCAAACAGCTGAGCAGCACGGCAAGTGTAATAAAGTTTTCTTTGGGGTCTGTGAAGGAGGTTTTCCTGGTTCCTAATGATGGGAAGGCCTGCCAGGCGCTGCCTCAGACTGTTTCCTGGCTGCACTCCAAGTACTCATCCACTGGATTTGTGTTTACTGGTGCATTTTCTGGGGCATCAAGGCAACGTCTACTTGGAGGGAGCTTTTTTTGCAGTCAGAGGAAGCATTTTTGCAGTCTCAGGGAGGACGCAGACCCTCATGATTCATTTCCATGGCTTTTAGCATCCTGGGGGATCAATTACGCTAACCACGAGCCATCAACTGAGTCAGGATTGTTGGCTCCACGTCCTGGATTAGTCCTGGGACCAGATATGTGCCTGATTCCCCGTTCCTCTGCCAGCCTGTGGCTCTGTTACCAGCACACACGAGCCAGTTACAAATGCCTGGTGATAGAAAAAACCTCTTCTGGATGGGGGTCTGTGGGAGCAGCTGGTTGGGGTCCCCCTGCCAAACAGGGGGGATGCTCGAGGTGACCCCTGTGCAGCTGTCCCCTCTGTGCCAGGGCAGGGCTGGGGCAGGGACAGGCAGATTTCCTCTTCATCACGCAGGCTGCTCTTTGCAGACAGGTTTTCAAGCCAGTTTGGTCCTTGGGAAGGCACTGGTTCTGCTCTGCCCTTGCAGGACGTGGCTGGTTGTGTCTCCCCAGAAAGGTTCCTGTGAGGGCTGCAGGTTCCACGTGCTCCCTGGTGAGTGCTGGGCACGCCAGCATCCTGTCTGCCTTCCCCCAGGGGTCTGAGCCTGGTTGAGGGGCAGGAGAAGCACCAGATGTTTTCCTCTTGTGCCTTGGCACACCTGCAGCACAAGCCTGGGTGCTCGGTGGGTGCAGCTTTCAGGGTGCCCCAGTAGATAAAGGATCTTCTCCATCCCCTGATGTCAAAGAAAAGATTAAACAGTAAAAGGATTGAGGGGAAAGGATTGGAGTAACAGTGATTAAGTCATGGATCAGGATTTGTCCTTAGCAGATGCTGGCAGCAGGGTGGAGAGCCTGCTGTGACTGCAGCAGGATTTCTGCAGGTGAGAGGAGCTTGTGTGGGGCAGCTTCTCCTGCCTGGTGCACGTCCAGCCCTGCAGCCCCAGTGCTGGGTGACCCCCAGATCCCTCCTGCAGCCAGATTCTGCTCCTTCACTAGCACACCCTCCCATTCCCCTTCTCCCTGGGGCCTGCTGCTTCACATTTTGTGGTGTTGTCTCCTGCTGTGTGTCCCTGAACTCTTCTCACTGATTTTTAACTCTGCCCAAGCGAGCAGTGACTCCCTGTCGTGTGGCAGGAGGGAAGCTGTGACTCAGTAGATCCTCCATAAAACCCAACCCCGGAGCAGCTGTGAGGAGGGAAGGAAGCCCTTTTGAGGGGAGTGCACTGCAGGTCAGGCTTTAACCATCTCCTTTTATCTTTCCAGAGCCAGGTGCCCATGGTGACCTGCTGGTAGAGGAAACCCACAGGGACAGCTCGCCTGGGAAGCACCCCAAAGATGAGGCTCAAGCAGAGATTGGAGCCCCTAAAGCCAGTTTGGATGCTAAAGGGGAAGCTGACCCCAACAACTCACCCCTGATGCAGCCCCTGGCAGGGCTGGGCTGCGAGGCTGACCCTGCTCACGCTGCTGTGGAGCCAGCCCCCGTGCCCCATGTGGGCACAGCCCCCTGGCAGCGGGCCATGCCAGGAGGGGACCCTGGCACGGGGCTGGTGGAGCTGGGGGCTGCTGCCCTGGGCCAGGAGCAGCTCGGGAAGGGGAAAACACCTTCGCCGGGGAGGAAAACAGATGAAGGCACAGAGGAGAACCAGCTTGAGCCTGAGCAGCATGACAGGAGTGTCAGCCCCTTCGTGGCAGGGGTCTGCCAGCTGCAGAGCTCTGCCCCAGCAGCCCCACAACGCCTTCCCCATCCCGGGGAGCTGGGGGGGGACCCGGCCCTGGAGGCCCCAGGGCAGGTCCCAAAACCTGGGGCTGATTGTACGGAGGCTAAAGAGAGTGTGGAGGCCAAGCCAGCTTCACCCAGGAGGGGCAGCAGGATCCCAGCCAGCAAGCTGACCCCGAAGAGACACAGAGAGTCCCCCAAGAAAGCAGCTGGGGATGCAGAGAGGGGTCCCACAGAGCCACCCCGGGGCTGCTCCCAGCTGGGTCCCACGGGCTGGGACAGCCCTGGCCTGGGCTCCCTCAGTGGCAGCTCAGCTCTGCAGAATTCTCCAGCTCTCCCCAAGGGCTCTTACCAGTTTGACCCCAGTAACTTTGACTCCATGGATCCGTTCAAGCCCACCAAGACGCTCGGCAGCACCGACGCCGACTCCTGCTCAGACAACAGCCTGAATGAAATCCTGGAATCTCACACGCTGGAGGTGCAGGACGATGCCCTGAAAGGCAGAGACTCCCCCAAGAAGGCCAAGTCACGCCTGATAACGTGAGTGCCAGTGTGTCAGAGCTGGGGCTGCAGCCCCCCTGTGCTCCCCAGGGGCAGGCAGAGCTGCTGTGCTGATGGTGGTGATGGTGCTGGTGGTGCTCCTGCCCTGGTGGTGCCTCCTGAGCGAGCCCCAGATGCTGCAGGGCACCTCAGGTTCTGCTGGTGGCTCAGTTTCATCCTCCTGTGCCTGTCAGTGGGAGGAGAGGGAGCGGTGTTCTGGAGCAGTGCCAGTGTCCTGAGTGCCAGGGCAAGGCTGGATTGGCACCTGCTTGCAGGATCACCTCTCTGCAAACCCCTTGGGGGTCCAGCTGGTGGGTCAGGGTGTAGGTGTGGTGTCAGAGGAACCCGCAGGGGAGGCTGGAGCTGATGTGTTTGCTGGGCTTGTGCAGGGATGCAGGTGTGCTTGCTCAAATGCAGCTGAGACTCTTGGTGAGCTGCCACCGAGTTCCTGTTTTATGTCAGAGAAAGAGAACAGGTTGGACGGGCAGTCTCTCACTCTGCTGTTGGATTTTCCAGTGAGAAAATTAGATTGTGGGTTTTAATAGTGAAAGAAAACCTCACAGGCAGAAATCAGGCTGTGTTGGATGTTTTTTGTCCAGGAAACACTTTACAGAGAGTAGATAAAAAATTTGTAAGAGCTGGTGTGTGGCTGTGGGTGAGCAGAGCCAGTGGGGAGGGGAAGCAGCAGGGAATTCTCTGCTCTGGAACAGCACAGGCAGCAGGGTATTGCCCTGGCAGGGAGGATTGTGTTTGGATCTCACCCTGCTGCTGTGGGCAGCAAGGGCAGGATCAGAGTGTCCCGTGTGTGTGTGTGCGTGTGTGCCTTCCCAAAGACTGAGCCAGGCAGCTCGCCGTGCTTCTCAGAGCAGAGTTAACATCCAGGTCTTTTCACACACTCTTCTTCAGGTCTTTTCACACACTCTTCTTCTCTCCATCTGTCTGTCTCTCTCCCTGTCCGTGCTTTGGTGCATCAGGACTACTGAGCAAGTGAAATTTCTCTGTTTTCTGTTGTAAGTACTCTCTCCTGTATTCCTTTGCTGGTTTTGTCCTCTCTCTGGGTGTGTGCTGCCCCACTGGTCTCCATGGCATGCTGGCTCCTTCTGCCCTTTGACTTGTGCTCTCTGCTGTCTGGTTTGTGTCCCGCAGCCCTCGGCGGGGTCCCCAGGGTGGCCTGGCCTGGTGAGTGCCTGGCAGTGAGGGAGAACAGCTGGGCTGGGCTGGGCTGAGCTGCACCAGAGGCACACGCCTGTGCTTGTCCTCGCAGCATCTTCTGGTGGTGGACAAGTGCTCAAAACCTCCAGCTGATGGAGGGGCAGCAGGCTTTTGTGCAATCCAGAGCTGTTATCGTGGTGCTGGTGGGGGGAAGCTCAAACCATCTGCCAAACCCTGGCACAGGACAGGGTGCAGAAAGGAGGGCGAGGATGTGGCGAGTTTGACTTGCTCGTGGCAGGGCACAAGGCAGGAAAGCAGTCCTGGTTCTTCGGTGTGAGCCAGGCGTGCATGGCAGCGTGCAGAGGAACCCCCGTGTGCTGTGCCACGCTGCTCCTCGTGCTCTGCTGGGCTGGGCTGGGGGGCTGCACAGCTGCAGAGGGTGGGGGCAGCCCCCTGAAGCTGGCAGCAGCTCGCTGCAGCCCTGCTCGAGCCTTTGCCTGTGTCCCTGCCAGTGTGGGGAGTGCCGTGGCTGGAGGCTGGGATCCCTCCCCGGTCCCTGCTGTGGCTGTCACACGAGCTGTTCCTGTTCAACAAGCATCTCCTGGGGGTCAGACGTGGCCAGGAGCCTGGGAGATCCCTGAGTGTGGAGTGTGAGATGCAGAAGTGCTGTCCCACCCACGTTCCCACTCGGGCTGTGCCTGCGTTGCTGGTGCCCGGTGCAGGGGGATACAGCCGTGCCTGCAGCCCTGCCCAGGTGGCCTCTGGATGGGTCTTCAGGAACATGGGATGAAGTTCCAGGGACAGCCTCCTCACTGGAGGGCAAGGAGACCACCTGCAAGACCTCCTTGGGCTAAACTTCCCACCCGAGGGGCAGCGATTCCTCCAGGCAGGGCCTTTGTTCAAGCACAGCACCTTGCCCTGGCCGTGCTGGCCTGACTCACCTGGAGATGTGGATGCTGTGGAGAAGCCCCAGACAAACTTCCAGCTGCAGGGAGAGGGCATGGGACAGCCTGGACGTGGTTCTTCCTGCAGAAATTCGATGTGCACCGAAGCCTGGGCGCCATGGTGCTGGACACGCAGGGCGAGGGAGATCCTTCGGTTCCTCTCTCACCATCAGCCTCTTGGGGTCCTTGCTCTCTCTGCTCCTTACCTTCCTCAGGAATAAACACCTCCCAGACAAACCCAACTTGGGTGTAGTCGTGTCTTTTGTTTGCCTGTCCCTTCTGTTCCTCCCAGAACTCGCTCTGCCTCGGTGCTCACTGGTGAGTGGGGTGCTGGCACGCGGTGGGTGCAATGCTGGTGCTGCCTCCCCCTGCTTGGGCTGCCTGGCACGCACCCCGCCTCCCCCCCAGTGCCCCTGAACCCCCCTCAGCTGCTGCTCCTCTCTCCTGCAGGAGCGGCTGCAAGGTGAAGCAGCACGAGGCGCAGCCCCTGGTCCTGGACATCAGCGCTCAGGTACGGGGGGTGTCACCCCAGAGCTGTGGGCTGGGCACAGGGTGCTGGGCACAGGGAGAGCTGGGCTGGCTGAGCTTCAGGCTGGCACCTTCCCTGTGGGCAGTTCCTGATGGGCAGGGAGGGAGGGAGGAGGGCTGCTGGGGAGCAGCTTGCCTGTGGATTTTGAGCTTTCTGTGCAGCTTTCTGGACACTTTTCTTAAGTGTCCAGCAGCTCACCTGCAGCTTGATCCCCGCAGATCTTGCTTAACTGCCTTCTTTGCTCCTGCAGGATGAAGGAGTGTTGATCTCAGAAATCCCAGATATTACCAACCGGGATGGCCGGGCCACTGATGAGGAGAAGCTGGCCTCCACCACCTCCACGCAGAAACCAGCGGGGCTGGAGAAGAAGGCTGAGGCAGAAGATGACCTGGAGTACTTTGAGTGCTCCAACGTGCCCGTGTCTGCAGGGAAGCACAGACCAGAGGCAGGTGAGGAGCATCCTGCTTGCCTTCAGCTCTGGGAATGCACCGTGACTGCAGCCAGGGAGCCTCTGCAGCCTCTGGCAAGGAGCTGCTGCTGCAGCCTCCTCTGAGTTTATTCACACTGACAGGGCTGCTGCAGGTTCTCATGGAACCTCCCATTGCTTTCCTGCACTGTTTCCAGGATGGAAAATGATGGTCCAGGCTGTGTTTATTTAGACTTTGGGTGCAGAGCACTCTCCCCACAGTGCTGCAGTGGGATGTGGCTCAGGCACGAGGTTCCCTGCCAGTGCCCCCCTGACAGCAGTGCTCACTGCTGAGCAGAGCAATTGTCCAGCACTCAGAGCATCCTGCCCTGGCTCCTGGCCTGCAGGATCCCTGCTTAGAGCCTGTGCCTGGAGCAGAGCTGCCAGGCCTTGGCACAGGGCTGTGGCTGATGGAGATCTCAATAATGCCTGCACAGACCCAATTATTGCTCCTGGTGGAATTCTGCCGTCACTCTCCCACGTAATTAGCCTCTCTGACCAAGCCATTACAAAATAATTAAAAGCCAGGCAACATGACATTTAATCAATAGCCAAGTCCAAGGTGCAAGCAGGAGAAATCACCACGGGGGGGGTTGCAGCCTCCCCTCTGCAGGAACCCATTAATCATTTCTCCCGATGGCTGTGCTGGCTGCCAGCTCCATGGAGAACGGCCCTTTGTCCTCAGGGGAGGAAAATCTGACAGTCAGGGGAGAGGCTGGAGGGTTTATTTATTGCTGCTGGTCTCAGAGGGCCGGGCAGTGCACGGTGCTCTGTGCAGGGATGGGAGCTGTGGGATAAATGGAGGGGAGCAGTGGGAAGTGTGCAGTGTTACATGAGCCTTCCTCTCCAAGCTGAGCTCTCCAAACACTGTTCTCTGCCTGCTTAGCACATGAATCGTGCCTGCAGTTGTGTGAGTGTGGCCCATAAATGACCCCTCGTGAGGCAGCACCGTGCCTGGAGGTTGGGGTGTCCCTCCTGTGAGGCAGGGTGTCCCCAGGTCAGGGTGTCCCTCAAGTCAGGGTGTCCCTGCTGTGATGCAGAGTCCCAGATTGGGGTGTCCCTCTTGTGACTCAGGGTGTCCTGTGGGACAGAGTATCCCCTAGATTGGGATGTCCCTCCTGTGAGACAGTGTCCCCCATGTCAGGGTGTCCCCAGGTCAGGGTGTCCTGTGAAGCAGAGTGTCCCCAGGTCAGGGTGTCCCTCCTGTTAGGTCAGGGTGTCCCCTAGGTCAGGGTGTCCCCAGGTCGGGGTGTCCCACTCCTTGCAGACGGGGAGATGTTTTTTATCTCCTCTGCTGTTAGGAGCAGGTCCTTCGGGGGCTGTTGGGGCTGGCTGCCCCGGGCTGTGCTCTGCTCTGCCCCAGCACCCTGCTGCAGTGCAGAACGTCCTGAGCCTCTTGCTCCCCTCAGGAGTGGCAGTCCCAGCCCTGGGGACACGGGCACACTGAGCTGCCACCAGAGGGGAGTGTTGGTTTCCACTGCAGAGGCTGGCAGGGTGCACATTGTGACACCTGGGGACAGGGTTTGATGGTGACCTTGGCACTGCTGGGCACTCCATGGTCTTAGAGAGCTTTTCCAGCCAAAATTATTCCAGCAAGGGCAAAGACCTTCCCCCTCTTTGGGAGGGCATGGGGAGGCTCAGAGGTACCCTCCTAAGTCTCAGAAAACCTGTGTGTGCCCAGGGTGCTGTTTCCAAATCAATTAAAGGTTGTGTTCCATTGTCTGCAGGTTTTGAAAAGGAGATCTGCAAGCAGATGGAAAAGGCAGGGCCTGGCATCTTCCCCGTGAGTGCCTCTCGCTTTCTCCTTTCTGAAAACGAGTTTCTTTGGGAGGTAAAATTCTTGACGAGCCCACGCAGGGACTCGATAAAAATAGCAGAGATTTCCCAGCAGGCCTGGAGGAGCCTGGCAGAGACGGATCCCTCCTGGGTGGGCTCGTGGGGAGGGAGGGAAGGAAAGAAGGAGGGAGGGAGGCAGGGAGGGAGGGATGCTGGGGACAGGCAGGAGCAGGGCAGAGCCAGGGCTGCAGAGGGTGGCTGAAGGACAGGGAGGGCACAGGGGACCGTGGGGAGCTGCCACAATAGATTGTGTCTCACGTGGAGTGCCCAGGGCTCTGAGGGCCCCTTGGTGCTGCTGCCTTCCAGAGGGATCCTCAGCCATGCTCAGGATGGCAGCAGAGGTGGGGAAGGGCACAGAAGCCCTGCCCTGCAGCCACGCTGACCCTGGCAGCCCAGCAGCAGCCCCACCGTGCTGGCACAGCCCTGGCATGCCCCGAGGAGCCCCAAAACCTCTCTGCTGTGGGGGCACCCCGTGCCAGCCCAGCATCCCCCGGCCAAAGCTGCTTGAGCTGACGAGCAGATGACAGTGAGCTTAGCACCATCAGCAAAACCACCCCCTGCGAGGCAGATTTAGCTGTGCTGAGCCCCACAAGGACGTGGGGGCAAAGTGAGCCTTTCCTCTGGTGCCCAGCAGAGCCTGGGCAGGCTGCTGACACCCCAGAGGTGCTGCAGGTGCTCAGGTGTGCAGCTGCTGCTGGGAGATACTGCAGGAGGCTCAGCCAAAGCACACTGGGCTGATTCTCATCTCTGCTGGGGTGCCTGGCCCCAAACCTGCTCTGGGGTGGCTCCCACCTCTGCCACGGCCACAGCAGAGCTGTGAAGGGCTGGGCGAGCCCCAGCTGAGCAGCTGAAGTGCCAGGGGGAGGAGAGGGCAGGGGAGAAGTGCTCCAGTGCTCTTGTTTCCTGCCTCCTTCCTCCCAGCACTTCTCTATTTATGGCAGCCCCTTCTCAGGGAGATGCTGCACGGCTGTCACTCGTCTGGGTGGTGAAAGGAGGGGTGGGCAGTGCCAGCACCTGGGGCTGAGCCTTGCCCCCAGTTTGCCCCTGTGGCTGTGGCACTGATGCACAGGCAGGGCACAGGAGCTGGGCTGTGGGCAAGGGAGGCAGTGGGCAATGGGGGTACAAGCACCCCTGGTCTTGTAGGGAACCCAGAATGGCACCAGGAGGGTGCCAGGATCTCTGTGTCAGCATCTCCTGTTTCAGAGCTCACCTGGAGCACCAGGGGTGAGCAGGGCTGTTCCTTGGAGCCCTGCTCTGCAGAGGGGTGAAGTCTGCTCCCCCCACAGCTTCCTTGGGCCCAGGAAATGTCCCTGCAGCTGCCAGCTGCAATTTGAGCACGTCAGCTGCAGTGCTGTCCCCACGGATGGGAGAGGCTGGAGACAGACAACCCAAACCCTTGCAGACCACCCCCACCTGTGGCTCACAGTCAGCAGAGACCCTCCAGGCTGGGGGTATTTTTAACCCCATGGGGTTAAAACCAGCCGTGGGATAAGGGAAGTTGGGTGTGAGCACATCTGTGCTTGGGGTTGGGTCTCCTCCTTCTGAACTGGGCCCTTAGTGGGTCTCCCTTTTGGGATGTTGCCTCCCTGGGTTGCCAGGTGTCACATGCAGGCTCTGGGCTCTGTGTGTGCAGGAAGGGAAATGCAGATGCTGATAAAACAGGGATGGGGGGCGTGAAAAGAATCCCCCCGACATCCCAGCTGGGTCATTCCCCCAGGACAATCCCGGGCTGTGCTCCATGGACAAGTGCCCCAGCGTGGGCAGGAGCGAGAGTCCCCTGGCTGGCATCTGCCTCAGCGAGTCCGAGAAGGCAGCGGTGCTCACGCTCATCAGAGAGGAGGTAACAGCCCTGTCCCTGTCCCCTGGGGCTGTCCCTCATGTCCCTGACCCCTCACTGGACCCCACCCCAGGGCAGCAGGGGCAGCTCTGCCCTGCCCAGGAGGGGGGATCTGATCCCCCTGCAGGGACAGAGAGGGGAAACCCCTCAGAGCACATCCCAAGGGTCCTTTGTCTGCTGCAACCCAGATAATCACCAAGGAGATCGAGGCCAACGAGTGGAAGAAGAAATACGAGGAGAGCCGGCAGGAAGTGCTGGAGATGAGGTACAAGTGTCCCCGGGCAGGAGGGGGCTGAGGGGGGACACAGTGAGGGGTGACACAGGTCAGCCTCACCAGGGTGGGGTGTCTTGGCAGAGATTTCTTTTAGTGCTGGTGCTGTGCCAATGTTGTCTCAGTGCTGTGTCAGTGTTCTCTCAGTGCTGTGTCTATGTTCTCTCAGTGCTGTGTCTATGTTCTCTCAGTGCTGTGTCTATGTTCTCTCAGTGCTGTGTCTATGTTCTCTCAGTGCTGGTGCTGTGTCCTCCTCGTTCCTTTGCTGCAGAAATCAAATCCCCCGAGCTGTGCCAGCCCCAGTGGCAGAGGCAGGTTTGGGTCTGAAGCACTGCTGATGGGTGGGGCAGCCCCAACATCTCAGTGGCCTCTCAACTGTTTGTGTTTTCTCTTCCCTCAAGGAAAATCGTGGCTGAGTATGAAAAGACCATTGCCCAGATGATAGGTAAGGTGCTGTCACCTGGCCAGGTGTGTGGGACAGGGAGCTGGCTGCCACAGCTGTCCCCACTCAGTCACTGTGTCCTTGGTGTTTGTTCTCCATCCCAGAGGATGAGCAGAGGACAAACATGACATCTCAGAAGAACCTGCAGCAGCTCACAATGGAAAAGGACCAGGCTCTGGCAGACCTGAACTCGGTGGAGAGATCCCTGTCAGATCTGTTCAGGAGATATGAAAACCTGAAGGGCGTCCTGGAAGGATTTAAGAAGGTCCTTACCTTGGTTTTGCCTTTCTCCCTCAGCTCAGGTCCCTGGTCACAGGGTTCCTGGGCAGTCACACTCCATGTTTCTATACTGCTGAGCTGGATAAGGGGCTCCAGCATAAAACAGAAGTTGGGTTTTTTAAAAACCTTTTTTTTTACACTCAGAACAGTATCTATCATCTCATCTTTGTGCCCAGTCCCAGTGCAGATGGATGTATTTTCTCTTCCAGAATGAAGAAGCTCTGAAGAAATGTGCTCAAGATTATCTAACCCGTGTCAAGCAGGAAGAGCAGCGGTACCAGGCCCTGAAAGTCCACGCAGAAGAAAAATTAGACAAGTAAGGTCATGCATGAGATTGCTGGGTGCTTCAAGACCTTGTAGGGAAGCGGCTTCATTTGCTTTCCAGAGGCTGGAAGGCAGGAGCTGAATGATGTGAAAAGCTGCATTTTACAACCTCGGGCTCAAGCGTCTCTAAGCAAGGCAGAGCAAATCCCTGAATGCACTCTCTGATCTCTGCTTATTTACTTTTTAATGGAGAACCTGAGGTTCAGGGTCTATTTATGGTCACTTAGCAAGTTCCCATCTTTCAGAGAGCGCTCCTGTTTGTGGTACACGAGGGGGCTGCACAGCCCTGGGGCTCAGCACGTGGAACCCTGTGTGAAGTGGGTGCTGAGCAGGTTTAGCTTGGCCCTGAAAGAGCAGAGTTTCATACAGGGGCTCAAGGAGATGAATTAACCCAGTTTCATCCAGTCCCACCAGGGGCAAACCCCCTCTGTTGTAGCCAGGCGAGCAGAGCCAGGCTCTGCAGTTGCTGCACGTACTGTGGGGCTCCTGCTGGCCCCCTGAGCTGGCCTCTGGCCCCCTGAGCTGGCCTCTGGCCCCCTGAGCTGGCCTCTGGCCCCCTGTGTCCCCCAGAGCCAACGAGGAGATCGCCCAGGTGCGCACCAAGGCCAAGGCGGAGAGCGCGGCGCTGCACGCGGGGCTGCGCAAGGAGCAGATGAAGGTGGAGTCCCTGGAGAGAACCCTGCAGCAGAAGGTAACCCGCCTGCCCCTGCCCTCTGCAGCCCTGCCAGCAGTTCCTCTTGCTGCCCTGAGCATCCTGTTGATGCCGGAGGTGTCCTTGGTCCAGAAGGTGTTTTGTGGGTTTGGTTTTTGGAATATTTTTTTTTGTTTGCTTCGGTTTTTTTTGTGTTTTGTGGGGTTGGTTTGGATTTTTTGGGCAGAACGGGCATTGCTGGCTTACGTGTGCCTGTTTGCAGAGGTGTGGGCTGGGGCTGGCTTGCTGCAGATCTCTGGGATGAGGAGGGGTGAGCACAGAGCTCCACGCAGTGCCCGGAGCACAGAGGAGCTGTTGCAGGGGCACGTGTAGGAGCTGCCTGCCCTTTCCCACACGTGCTTGATGGCAGATAGGCCCTGGTGTTATTCCCCACCTGTGCCACCCACAGGGGTCCCCAAGATCCGCTTTTCTTCCAGAACCAGGAGATTGAGGAGCTGACCAAGATTTGCGACGAGCTGATAGCGAAACTGGGAAAGTCAGACTGAGCCTCAGCACCCCTCGCCCAGCACTCTGCACTTGGCTGCTTCTCTCGTGACGTTGAGCACCTTGCCTTACCCTGGAGTCTCTGCAGGAAAGCTCACGTGTCCAGCTGCCCCCCTGGCTGCCAGACCTGTGGCTCCTGAGCAGGGCTGCTCCCCTCACTGTCCCCGTGTGCTTCCCACAGCTCCGGGCTGGGGTCCCTGCAGTCAGCCTGGGCATCCTGTGCTCAGCCTGGGCCTGTGTGTCCCTCCCTGGGCTCTGTGCCCCCTGGTTGTGTCCCCTCTGTCACTGATTGTCCTCACGTGCTCAGCAGAACAGGTCCAGCCACTGGCAGGTGCTGCCCTGGGTCGTGGGTGATGGCAGGGGTGGAGCTGCTGGCTCTTGCACTGGGGAGGGCACCTGGCACAGGGATGGCTGGTGTCTGGTTGGTGGGTGAAGCACAGCACAGCCTCTCCCTGTCCCTGGCTGTGCCGGCCTCTGAGGAAGGGAGCTGACATCTCTGCATTCGTGCACTTTATGAGCATTTGTGGGCACTTGGGCTCTCTGCTCACTCCTTCCAGTCAGGCACGACCTGTTCCCCCCAGGGCACTGATCAGTCACAAAACCTGCAGTAACTTCAGTCCTCCCCGGGGAGAGTCCAGGTGAGGGGAGGCAGGAGGTTTCTGCACCAAGAGGTGTTTGGGAAGCAGGGGAGATGTTGGTTCTGCTCCGTCCTCCCCGTGGTCCCTGCAGGGGCTGGGTGGGCTGTGCAAAGCCAGGGCTGTGTCTGTGCCTCCCTGTGCCACAGTGAGATCAGGGCTCCATTTCAGAGGCTGCAGGAGGAAGGAAGTGAACCCTGAGCTGCCTCGTGGGTACTGCAGTAGCTGCAGTGATGGAGGATTCTCTGCCTTGAATGGATAGGTGTGAAATAAGGGAAATATTTGCAGTATGGACTGTTTCCTGCCCAGCCTGCTGAACACTTTCACAAACCTTTTTGCTGCTACCTTTTTGTAACAGAATTGAGCTCTTTTCCTTCTATTTTCTAATTCCCTGTGTCGAGCATGCAGAGCAAACACCTGTTTAAGCCAGAGCCATACACTTGATTATATTTTATTAGTTATATAATATATAGAGAGTTTATTCTACACTTAAGCAAAGGTGTCAGCAGCCTGCCCCAGCACACAGCTTGCCAGCCTGTTCTCCACACCCCCAGTTATCCCAGTGACAGACTGGTCACAGAAGCCAGTGGCTGACACCACCCAAAGCAGTGCACCTGTTGCTTGTGCTGGATATTCACCCTTTGCACAGCTGACAGAAAAGAAAAACCCTTTTTGCCCCTTTCTTTTTAACCCCCTTGACCTCCCCACATGTCCCCTCCTGAGCTGGTGAAAAAGCTTCAACCATAAGATCAACAAGGATATTTCTGTTCCCCTTGGGGACTCTGTGCAGGTCAAGCAAACCCCTGAGACCCTGAGATTTCTGGGCCAGTTGGCTTTTTCTCTTGAGGAAGCAGCATTGCATCACCTCTCAGAGCTGGTGGCAGGCTGCTCAGGGCTGGTTTCTGGCTGGGGCACTGCCCTGCCATGGTGCTGCTGGAGCCCAGGAGCAGGAGCAGTCCCAGGTGGGGCTGTGGCAGCCCTCAGCCTTCTGCCTTGCTCAGGGCTGTGATGCTCATGTGCTGTTCTCACTCAAGGTGTGACACTCTGAGGTCAGTCTCTCCTCGGGGCACGGCTCTGGCCCTTGGGGCTGATGGATAATTGCAGTTCAAGATTTCACCACTTGCCACTTCCCCAGCGCCCTGACCTGAGCCCTTGGGGCTGATGGATAATTGCAGAAGTTCAAGATTTCACCACTTGCCACTTCCCCAGCGCCCTGACCTGCACACAGCAGTCACAGCTTTCCCCTGTGGGCTGTCAGCACTGTGGTGACCCACGGGGCACAGTCCTCCATCCCTCCTGTCCCTGTCCCCAGTGCCACCCGCTCCTGCCGTGCCACCTCCCCTCACCCGCTCCTGTGCCCGTCCGTGTGCACCCCAGCCTGGGCAAAGAAGATTCCTACGGAATGATTTATTAACTATAATATGGTTATAGCTACATTTATATATATATATCAGTACACAATGGCTGCAGTGATATGGAAGAGCAGGCGTGTTTGCCAGCGGGCAGGGTGGCTGCACCTCGAGGTGACGCTGCACACGCCGAGCTGGTGGTGTCCCCGTGACTGGCACAGGGGGTGGCAGGTCCCTGTGTGTGCTGTCACAGCTGGCTGTGTTTGTCTGTTCCTTGCAGTAGACTTTAAACGCTGTTCTGGCAGCGGCGGGCCCTGCCCCTGCTGCTGTGTTGCTGTTTGCAGTGTGTGTTTGCCAGCAGATCTGTCCGTAACCAAGTGCCAACCAGTAACCCCCGACTACTGATCTCCCCCTTCCCTCCAGTGTGGCCTCCCCCAGGCAGGAAATTCCTCTGCATTGGCTCCTTCCCCTCTGCTTCCAGCCATGTGTGTAACTGCCATCACCATCGGTTTTATATGTATGATAATTTCCCTTTTATATGTCAGGTAAATATTTGTAAGAGTTATACTCACACAAATGAGATTATTATAATGATTACTAATATATTTTTTTCCATGTTTCATTGCCTGAGTAAAAACTGTGTTTATCACTCTTGAAAGCTTTCTTGGTGTTTGTGAGGTTGGTGGAGAGTGTTGGGAGGAGTTGGCTTTGCCTTCCAGAATGGGCCGTGTTCTGCTTTGTCTTTATTAATGTGATTTACATGGCACTTGGTTTCAAATAAGTACAGTTATCATCTGTTCCTGAAACCTGCATTTCTGAGCTCTGAAATTCAGACCTGGGGTGGCTTTTCTGGCCCTGTGACTCCACTCCAAGCACACTGTGATGGTACTAAGCCACGGCAGTGAGCTCAGGCAGCAGGAAGAGCTGAGGCAGCAGCGGGATGGCAGGCAGGAGAATCCTTGCCCTAATCCCTGCCAACCCTCTGTGGCCTTGGGTAAATCCTGCTGGGAGGATGGGGGCTGCAGGAATGGTTCCACTGGGCTCCCAGCCCTGTAGGGGCTTTCAGTTGTTCTCTTGCACTTCTCTTTCGTTGCGTTGGAAAATCTGAAGGGTTTTCCCCAACTTGGCTGCTGCTCTTGGTGAGAAAGGGCTGTTCTCTGGACGGAGCAGGGCTTGATCAAGACCTTTGAAAGCCACCACAAGGTTCTGTGTCCAGAGATGATTTCCAAAGCAGGACACGGAGCAGAGCCCAGCCCATCCCCTGGCACCAGTGTGGCGCTGTGCCCCAGTGCCACTGCCCAGCCCCTGTCCTTGGGGAGCTGTGTCCTGTCCCCCCAGCTAAGATGGCATTAGCCCAGCCCCGATGCACTCACCCAAGCAGATTAGCTGTAAGACCTTAAGACAAAACAGCAGCTACTCACCCCACACCACACACTGCTGAGGATGCCTGCCCTGAAGACCCTGCTGGCCCTGGCCATCCTCACGTCCCTGGCTGGAGGAAGTAAGTGTGCCCTGGCTGCAGGCAGCTCGAGGTGGGGTAAATTGCTGTAGCTGCTCCTGTGCTTGCTGCTGCCCTGTCCCTGTCACCTGCCCACCGTGCCCCTGCCCCGTGCTGCTCCCAGCCCTGCAGGAAAGTGATGTTTGGGGAGGGAGGGTGGCTTTGTCCTCTGGGTAGCACCAAGAGAAGCCCCTGTCCCTTGCCTCTCTGCCAGGCGTGCTGTGCCCAGCAGGGACCACAGAGTCTCTGGTCCTCAGCTCTGATGGAGGCTCCCGAGCCAAAACCCTGCAGCTTCTCTTGGCTAGAGCTGTGTTTGCCTGCTAACACTTGGTTCCTCCAAGGCACAATCACAAGAAGCTGTTGTAAAAGGCAGGGGGGTGGCTGCACTGCTCAGAGCAATGCCATGGAGCAGCTCTGGACTGCTCCAGGACCGTTGGACCAAGGCAAGATGAACGCTGTTGTATTCAGGGTGCCCCCAATGAAGGTGAGGAAGGAATGATGAATCTGACTCTGTGTTCTCAGAAAGCTAATTTATTATTTTATGATACTATATTATATTAAATAATACTAAACTAGACGAAAGAATACAGAAAGGATACTTACAGAAGGCTAAAAAGAAACTCGTGACTCTTTCTAGAGCCTCGACACAGCTTGACCCTGATTGGACAATAAGTCAAAATAATTCACACGAAACCAATGAAACCTGTTGGATAAAAAATCTCCACTTCCAAAGGAGTAAAACACAGGAGAAGCAAATGAGACAATATTGTTTTCTTTTTTCTCTGAGGCTTCTCAGCTTCCCAAGAGAGAAATCCTGTGTGAAGGGATATTTCAGAAAATGTGAATGTGACAGAATGCAATTTTATTTTTAGCTCAGGGCAGATGAAAAGCTGTGCCGTGCTGTGAGGAACAGCAAAGGAGACAAACACAACCCAGCAGAGGAAGCCGGGTCATTGTGGGTTAATGGAAGGCGTTTACTGGTCTCTGACCCCGTGCAATCCCAATTTTGCCCGTTCACGGGTTTTCTGTCCCGGAGATGGAGGTGGAAGCTCCGCTGCCACGAGAGGGCTCCGCTCCCTCAGCGAGGCACAGACGAGTTCCACTCCAGCCAGCGCTGGCTTATCCAGCCCCACCAAAATCGAGGATTCGTCCTTTCAGGCAGGAGCAGGATCTTCAGCTCTGGGCTTTTCTGGGGTCACCCAGCTCTTGCAGCACTCTCGGCTCTGGCTGCTGTCTAACCTGCCTCTGGGACTCCTTAAAGGGCAATCTGGAGATGGCTCGTCCCTCCTGCAGCTGCCTGGCACTGTCACCCTGCTTGTCCCCAGGCTGAGCTTCCAGAGCACAGGGTGGAATGTGGGAGCTGCTCCCACAGGTTGGGTGGATTCTCCCTTCTCCCCCCACCCAAATTCTTATTAAAATGAGATCTGGCACAAGAAGGCAAAGATCTAGGATGGTTTTTAAATATTATGTCTACCTATTTTTACTGTAAAAGGAATTCCAGGACTCTCAGGGAGTCTTTGCAGGGCAAGGACTCGGCAGAGCTCACCTGCCCGTTTTGGGCCTCATCATTTTGAGTCACACTTGGAAGAGTTTTGCATTAATTTTGTGGACAGGTGAGGCCCCATCCTGCATCCTGCTGCATGCCACGGCAGCGCCTGCTGATGGCTCAAATCTGGTGCCAACTCTTACCTGTGACCCCCTCCCTCTCCCTGGGCTGGAGACCCACAGACTGTCAGGGCACTGGGGGCTCTGGGACGGTACATTGCTGTCACTCTCACTCCTCCTCCTCCTCCTCACCTTCACCCAGGTAAAGCTCTGAAATGCCACAAATGTGTCGCATCCAACGAGAACGACTGCAACCAGCAGGGATCCCACAGCTGCCCCCAGTACGCCGACGCCTGCTCCACCATCACTGCACCCAGTGAGTGCCTTGGCCGGGGGGCCGGGGGGCTCCAGGGGGAAAAGGGGTGAGACCAGAGGGTCTTGGAGGACTGGAGGGCGAGGAGAAGCAGGGGGCGGCTTCTTCTTGTGTTGCACTGCGCCGCACTGAGGTGCTCTCTGTCCTGCGCCAGTGACCGCCTGTCCCTTTATTTCCCTTGCAGACAGCGTCATTAAATCCTGCTCCTACAAGTCCTTCTGTGACCAGGCTCGCCGCGGCGGCTCCGGCGGGGCCACCGTGCGCTGCTGCTTCAGCGACGACTGCAACGGGCCGGCTCGGGGCTCCCGGAGCGGCGCGGGGGCCACCCCGCCGCCCCCGGCCGGCCTGCTGGCCACCGCGCTGGCCGGCACGCTGCTGCTGGGCCGGCTCTGAGCGCCGGGCCCGGCTGCTGGCCGCTCTAGCCTAGGGATGCGGCGGGGATGCTCTGTGCCAGGGGTCCCATGGCTGTCAGTTCAATAAACGCTGCCCTGAGAACCGCGTCCGCAGCCGCTCCTTGGCAGGGAAGCCAAACCCGTGCCAAACAGAACCGGTTTGGCGTCTGGTGCCGCCCCGGAGGGCTCTGCTGGGCACAGCCCGCGATCCCAGCGCAGATTCCCTCCCCGCTGGTCCAACAGAGATGCTTTTGGGCTGCTTTCCACAACCTGAGGAGAAAGGTTTTGGCGGCTGCTGAGACACGGGGGAGATGTGAGGCTGCTCCGTGGTCTGGGGCTGCAGGTGGTGCCACAGCTCAAAGCTCTGCTAGGAAGGACAGGTGAGAGAGAGGAGGACACTGTGGCTGCTCACAAGTGCTAGAAAGACACCCAAAAGTGGTCGGTGAGGCTTGTTTTCGTGAGGGAGAATGGTAAAAGTGAGTGAACAGAGGGGGGAGAACAGAAAGGGGAATGATGAAGGAAGTGAAGGATGGCTGGGACCATGAGAATTTGACTGCAAGGACTGTAGAGCAGGGCGAGCAGCAAGCAGCAGCTGTCTGCTGGAGTCTGCCCCAGTCAGCACACGAGGAAAAGGGGAACAGGTACTGAAACTGAAAAGAGCAAGTTGGAACAGAAGAAAAGAAGTAATTTAGCACGTGCAGACCCAGCCGTGGAACTCACAGCTGGAGGATGCTGCTGGAGCAGTGACCTCGGTGAGTCCTGGAGGGTGAGGGGATCAGAAGTCCTGCAGAACATGGACGTGGTCTTGTGGAGGTCAGCATGTGCCTAGAGGGAAGCATCTGGAAAGCAGATAATTCCCTGTCTGCTGTGGATGCTGCTCCTTCCCCGGGGCACACAAAGGGTGTTCTGCGCAGGGCTCTGGCTGCTGGAGGAATCCCCAAAGCTCCTGCCCTGGGATGTGCCCTGCCCCGGGCTTCCCTCGTGCCCCTTCATCTGCTCATGGGGGGTCTCACTGAGCTCCAGGGGCTGCTTGTACCCCCACACAGCAGAAAAACGAGCTGGAAAATCCAGGAGAGCTGCCAGGCAGAGCTCCTGGATGAAGGGAGAGCAGCGCTGTGGATGGAGGGAGAGCAGCGCTGTGGATGGAGGGGAGCAGCGCTGTGGATGAAGGGAGAGCAGCGCTCTGGGATGAAGGGAGAGCAGCGCTGTGGATGGAGGGAGAGCAGCGCTGTGGATGAAGGGAGAGCAGAGCTGTGGATGGAGGGAGAGCAGCGCTCTGGGATGAAGGGAGAGCAGCGCTGGGGATGAAGGGAGAACAGCGCTCTGGGATGAAGGGAGAGCAGCGCTGTGAGTCGCTGCCGTGTGACTGTGCCCGGCACGCAGCGCTGCCCCGGCGGGTCACAAGGGCTGCAAGAGGAGGTTCGGTGCGAAAACGGAACAGTTTAGTCTTTGCAAAGGGAGGGATGGGGAGAGGGGGAGGCAGCGCTGGCGATGCAAGGCTCGGGACCTCCAGGATGCCGGGAGCAGGCAGGCAGCAGTGGGAAGGAGCGGATTAGCGTGGGACGGACAGGGCTGGTGTGTCCGTGAGCGGCATCCCTGCGCGCCCGCGGCGGCAGGGTCGGTTTCACCCGCGCCGGGAGAAAGCGCATCGGAGCCAGACGGAGTTTCGGAGAGAAAGTGGGGCTTCCCCGGGGCGGCCCGGGGCAGGCAGCGGGTGTTTCCTGCTCCCAAATCCACCCCGAGCCCGCTCCAGCAGCAGCTCCCCCAAGAGATGCTCTGGCAGGAATGGCGAAGTGGGCGGCTCGTCTCCAGGTTTTGTGTCGGGTCGGGGGCGATTCACCGGGAAGGCCCCGAGCCCGGACAGGCTGGCACCGGGAGCGCACCGGGCCGCCCCTACCCCTACCCCTCCCGGCCCCGGTGCCGCGGCAGGTGCGCGGCAGGGACGCGGACAGACGGCGATGGGACAGAGGGACGGACACTCACCCCCCGCCCCGCGGAGCCGCCCCGCACTCACATCCGGGGCCGGGTTTGCTAATGACAGACGTAATTAACCCGGAAAGAAGCGACGGCGGAGCCAGGGGCACACCCCCTCCGCCGCCCGTCCGCCCTCCCGGCCGCGCTGCCCGGCGCCCGCAGCCCCCGCCGCCCCCCGCCCGCCCGGGACGCCGCGGGGTAAGTGCCACCGCGGGGACAGCGTGGCCGCAGGCAGCGCTGGCTCTCCAGAGACCCCGCGGGCCGGGCTGGCAGCCCTCGCTGTCCCGGTGCCGGCCCCCGAGCCTCCCGGAGCGGCTGGAGGCGCCCGTGCCCTGTGGGGTCCGGTGGGGAGGCGGCCCCAGGGCTGGTCCCCCTGTCCCTGGCGGGGATTCCGCTTTCTGCAGCTGGATCATCCGTGCCGGGGCTGGAGCGGAGCCCTCCCGGTGCCAGCGGCTTCTGCTCGACGGCTCCCGGAGCGAAGCGGGGCAGGGGAGGGGGCGGCGGGGAGGGGGCTCTGCCGGAGCGGAGGGGTCCCCGTGGGAGCTGCGGGAGTGCTGCGGGCACCGTCCTCGCCCGAAGTCCGCGGGGTTGGAGGCAGCGAGTGGCGGGGATCGGGGCTTTGCTGCTACTCTGTGTGTTCTCCGACTCTTTGTGGCAGATGAAGAGCTGCATCCAGCCTCCTCCCGACAGGCTGATAGTTTCATTAAGGCAAAGATCTGCAATTAGCAGGAGCGAGTTGCTGGGCGCTGTCTGTCTCGTGGCTCGGGACAGACGTCGCAGCGTGGGCTCCGGGAGCTGCTCTGCGACCGCAGGTGAGAGGAAGCGGAGCTGCAGCGGCCGCGGGCACGGGGCAGCGCAGGTCCCACTCCTGGCACGGAGGGAGGGTCATCCTGCAGCCCAGCAGAGCTCGGGAGGACAGGTGTGAGAGAGGAGGAGGAGGAGGAGGACGCTGTGGCTGCCCACAGGTGCGCTGGGCGCTGTGGAGGGAGGTGCTGAGCAGGGCACAGCGGCTGTGACAATGCAGGGCATCCTGAGCTGCTTCCTGGAAAGTCTGGCTGTGTGGCTGCCCACGAGGCCTCTGAGCCACCCTTGGGTGCTGCATGGACAGTGCCCTGCGCCTCCTGCCTCTCCCTGGGGAGCACTTCCCTTTGGCTCAGGCAGCCAAGGGGGTGGTTTTGCTCTAAGTCTTCTTCTGTAGCCCAATTGCTTCCCATGTTATTCACTGAGTCAAGAGAGAAGTGTCTTTTTGGGTGGGATATTGTGGTGGAAAAAGCTGGCAGGTCTGTTGCTTCAGAGGTAGGAAAGAGTCCTGGAAGTCTCTGATATGCCACACTAGGAAACAGCATTTTCTGGCCCTCCTGGATTTCCTGAGCAGGGTGCCCCACGTTAGCACAGCTGGAGATGCTACTTTTATAATTTTCTTATGGAAAAGCGCAGTTCTTGGTGGCTCCAAAGAAAGACCACTTGTGGGCAGTGGGATGTGAGGGGACAGGAACCCCGGTGACTTCAGTGTGGGGCAATCCCAATCTCCTCTGCCCACGGGTTTGGGCATCTCCAAGTGCAGCCTGAGGTCAGTGTGCCCAGAAGGGCTGAGCTGGTTTGTGCTCTCCCAGATGAACCCGTGGTAATGAAGGATGGTGGTGGGGGGACATGGAGACTTCAGGAGATGTCCCATGGGGGCTGTGGGGCTCATCTCTGTGGCACATTCTGCTCCTTCCTCATCTGTCTCCTAAGCAGGAATCTCTAGACCTTTGTTGTCAGTAGAAGGAAGGATTTATGAGGTTTGGTATGTTGGTATGGTTGAGGGTACCTAGGGTTTGGCTTTCCATGTGCTTCCCCACCACAAAAATAACCCCACAAAAAAGCAGTGAGACTGGAAGTGCCCACAGAAACCCTTGTGCCAGGGCACCGTTGTTGGTCTAAAACAACCTCTCCCCCTGCAGCAGCACGGTCCCCGTGAGCCAAGCCCTGATACCCATCTCTGAAATGTTGGTGGTAGACTGAGATCCTGACAGCAGGTTGACTTGTTTTCTGCCTCCTCTACCTTTGCAGCTGCACCCCAGCTCTTGCACAACCCTCACCTCCCCGGGCCCCACTACACTGCAGCTCAAAAATAGTATTTCCTCCTTTTCTGCATGAGTTCTTTTATTTGTGCAGCTCTGCTTCTGGCACCTGCGTGATCACCACTCTCCTGCCAGACAAACCACACTGGGTTCACTCACATCCTCTGGGTAACGGCTGCTCTCATCCCTGCCCTCCACCCTGTGCCGTGGGGAGGGGGCTCTGCCCGGGCAGGGGGACTCATCCTGCCCCCCGAGACCCCTTGGTGCTGGTTCTGCTCCCCACGCAGGGCTGGAAGTGGTGATGGTGTCCCCACTGCAGCCCAGGGGTCTTGAAGGATTCCTGCTGGGTGGGGGGCAGTGCTGGGGAGGGTCCATGCCCGTGGCAGACCTGGGGACACAGCGTGGCCCTGCTGGGATGGGTCATTGTTTTCCCTGCTGACTCGACATCCTGGCTGCACAGATTTTCTGCTGGAGTTGCAGATTGTTCCCTGTTTCCTGGGAGCGTGCTCAGGCTCTCTCTAGCACGCTGCTTTGGGATTATTTTTCACCACAGTTCTCAGGGATCTGGTGTCTTGTGTCAGATTCTTTGTGGCTGCTCTGTCCTCGCTCACGGGGTGGCTCTTGGGGCTGGGTTGTCCATCCCATCTGCCTCTAGAGAGCTGGGCTGTGGCTGAGGGGCAGTGCTGGCATCCTGGAACACCTGGCTTCATCTGTGCCTAATCCAGAAATCACCATTCAGCAGGAGCAGGAAGATCTGTCCAATGCTATATCCAGCTCCACAGCTCGGGTGCCACGGTGCTGGGGCAGCTCCCTACGGGGGGAGCAGAGCACCCACGTCCCCCTGCCTGCCCCCCACTCCACAGGGTGATGCCAGAAGGAGCCCGGCATGCCGTACCTGGACCGACAGAACCGTATCTGCGGCTTCCTGGACATCGAAGAAAATGAGACCTGTGGCAAGTTTCTGCGGAGGTATTTCATCCTGGACACGCAGGCCAACCACCTCCTGTGGTACATGGACAATCCTCAGGTGGGCACGTGTGCCAGGCGTGTCTGTAGAGCTGTCAGTGAGTCTGTGGGCACGTCCCACCCCCCTGGAGCAGGCATCTCCTCCAGGTCACCCTAGACCTGCTGTGTCAGTGTCCCATGGCTGAGCATGGCCATGACCAGGCTCCCACCCTTCTGTGACCTCTGTGGTTTCCAGGACTGTCCCAAGGAGCACAGCAGGGCTGGTCCCGCTGCTGAGGGGTCTGGGCTGAGCCAGGTGCAGGACAGGGAAGTGGCTGAGGATGGCAGCTGCTGCCTGACCCCGAGGGCACAAACGACAGGCTGGATTGCCCCCGCCACCTTCTCCCTGTCATTTACCTCCCACTGCTCCTCCTGTGTGTTGCAGAACCTGGCCATTGGAGCAGGTGCTGTCGGATCTCTGCAGCTGACCTATATCTCCAAGGTAATGTTGGGGTGGGGCAGAGGGAAGATGAGTGCTCCCTGTTTTCCCCTTATCCCTGTGGCATTCCCAGGAGAGGCGATGGCTTGCCCTGGAAGCACCTGGGGCCAGCTCCTGGTCCTGCCTGGGCTCGTGGTCATCTCCCTGGGATGAAGCCTAAGCAGGGAGGGACCCTACAGCACAAAGATCCTGGTGCTGGGACTGTGTTCATCTTCACCCTGGAGTGGCGTGGGACGGGGTGCAGGGCTGGGCTGCAGGAGGAAGAGGAACTGCTCTGCTGTGAGGAAGGACACGGGGTGGCCAGGACTGAGTGGGGACAGGAGCGTGGTGTCAGCCTGAGCTGGGCACGGAGCTGGCACTCGGCTGAGCAGTGCTTCAGCAGCTCTCCCCTGTGCTCAGAGGGCACTGCTCTGAAGGATGAGACCTGCAAAGTCACTCGTGTGTCTCAGGGGTGTTATCCAGCCTCCATGGGAAGGCAGGAACAGTGCAATAAGCACCAACTCTTGCAGGGCTGGTGACTGAGACAGTGGAGAATGTATGTGGAGAGTGGAGCTGCCACCATCCTGCTCCTGCAAGTGGCCCCTCAGCTGCTGGGGGGGAGTGGGGGGCTGGTGGCTGCCACGCCAGGCAGAGCTCAGCTTTATCCTGGAGCTGGATATAGCCTTGGACAGATCTTCCTGTTCCTGCTGAATCATGATTTATAAATTAAGCGCAGATGAAGCAATGCTGGGAGGCTGAGCCTTCCCCATTTTGGAAAGAGCCTCACAAATTACATAGGTTTTAGTTTAAATGAAAATTGCTGCAGGACAGCGTTTGGTCACAAACTGCGGGGTTGGGTTCTGTTAGTGGCTGGAACTACCAACAGTAAATACACCAGAAAAATGGGGGTTTGCTTGAGAAAACATATTTAAAGCATTATGGACTGGCTTTGAAGGAGGAGGACTGTCAGAATAAATACTCCACGAATGCTGTTTGTGGAGCCTCAAGGAATATTATTCTTATATAAATGATTCCTACTCTTCAGGGAAAAACCACCACTATTTTCCCTCAATTCTCTTAATTGCTGATGAGAGCGACTGTGTTGATCCAGGAGAATGGATGTTTTCAGGTCCTTTGAAAGCTTTCTGTCCTCTGCTGTGCCTGAAGGGGATGCAGGGGATGGAAGTCCTGGCTCGGTGCTGACCTTCCCCTAGGACCCAGCACCCTGTGCTGCGTGTGCTGTGACACGGGCCAGCTCCCTCCAGCTGCCACAGCTGTGCTGTAGCTCTCACATGTGTGGGGTCCTGCTCGGGGGTCCTGGCAGAGCCCAGGCAGGGAGCAGGGTGGGTGGGTGGAAGCTTCCAGCTCTTCTGCCCACCACTGGCACGTGCTTTTATCTCTAATTTTTCCCCTGATTTGCTCTGTCACAGGTTAGCATTGCCACCCCGAAACAGAAGCCAAAAACTCCGTTCTGCTTTGGTGAGTGAGTGGGATCTTGGTGGGCTCAGTGGGGGGAAGCTGCAGTGTGGGTGCCCCCTGAATCCCTCTGGCTGCTGCCAACTCTCCCTGTCCTTGCTCCCCTGGCAGTAATCAACGCCCTCTCCCAGCGCTATTTCTTGCAAGCCAGTGACCAAAAGGACCTGCAGGACTGGGTGGAGGCACTGAACAAGGCCAGTAAGATCACGGTAGGTCACTTCATGCTCCTCTCAACTGTTCCCTCCACCATCCCCAGGGATCCTTATGGCTGAGGTTTACTTGTGTCTCTTCCTTCGCCCTCCCAGCCCAGCTGTGGGGGACAGCTGACAGGAGGGGCTGTGGGAGCCATCCACATCCCCTCCAGCTCCAGAACTCCTCCTCCTGTTACTCCTGCTGGCTGGCATCTGGCCGTGGCTGTCAGAGGGAGGCTTTATCGTGCTTCAGTAGATTTATTCCATTTTTATTCTTCCTGTGAGGAGGCAGCAAAAGCCCTGCGCTGTGGGGCACGGCGAGGCAGGCTGTGCTGCATCCAGAGGGCTCATGTGCCATCTCCTGTGTGTGCTGCTGTGCTCACGGGGCCGTGAGCTGATGGGCACTGACCCGGTGCCACGCTGCCAGCACTGCGGGATGTGCCACGCTCCCCCCTGGCAGCACCAGGGCATGGGGTGGGCTCCAGGATGGCTTCTGCCTGTATGGGGGTCCCTGGGAAAGGGCTGGGGGCTTTGCTGACCTGCAGTGAGCAGTGGGGCTGAGCAGTGAGCAGAGTTTAATTAGGTCATGCACTGATGCGTGTTGTTTATGGTATGTAAGCTAAATGTAAGGGAAAATAATGTAAACAGTTTGATTGGGGCCTATCCATGGGTTTTTTCTTTAAAATCCCTGGAGTGCCATAGTGTAGGCTCTGTGGGAAACTCTTCTGCAAGATCAGACCTAGCTTGTATTTTCTTTCTTTCTCTGCAAATACATTAAGTGTGACAACCTTTGCACCTGCAGCTGCCACACTGCTCTGGCTCCTGCCTTCTCTTTCTGGCTCCAGCTGATCTTGGCCACAGATTCCATCTCCAGAGCTGGCCAGAGCCTGCCTGGGCTCTGTGTCTGGGTCTGCTGCCAGCAGTTTCCTCCAGGGTTGCTGCCTCTGGGGCAGGGGGGTTCTGCCAGGCTGGCAGAGGTGGGAGCTGGGGTGACAGGAGAATGAGATGCATCTTGTGCTTCTGCAAGAAGCCGTGGTGGTTTCCATGGTCTGATTCAGCCAGCCCTTCCCGATGCTGGCTGTGTCCCAGCTGGCCAACCGGCTGGTCCAGCCCTTCAGGGAGGAGCTGTCCCGGGCTGGCAGGGAAACCCAGAGCTCCTGGGATGTGGTGATGCTGCATTCTGCCCTGCTCTGGGAGGGGGTTGGCATTAGGGGGGCTGAAGTGCACGGCTGGGAAGGGAAATTTGGAAACTGCTCTTTGTGTCCAGAGCCAGGTGCCAGAGGGAAGGAGCTGGGAAGGGAGAGGGGAGGATGGCAGTGCCGGGAGCTGTGGGCAGCCCAGCCTCTGCCCAGGGTGTGGGGCTGCTCAGGGGGGACACAGCCAGCACTGGGGTCACGGCGGTGCCTGGCTGTCCCTGCGGCCACGCGGCTCAACCTCGTTAGCCAGACCCAGCTCCTCATTAAGCCTGTAAGTGGAGCGGGGACAATTAAAGGAGCAAGTGTCCCAAAAACTCACTGAGCTGCAGAGGCGAATCACAGGCGCCTGTGAAGGGGTGTTAATCACTGAGCTCCTCTCATCTCTGCTCTGGGTGTCTCCAGCTGCCCAGGGGCTTCCACACCCTCCCTAACCTGGGTGCTTGGCCAGGAGTTGTTTTCTAAAGGGATGTGGCTGTATTAGGCAGAGTTGGGGTGCTCAGTGCAGGTGTGGGGATGCCCGGCATGGTCACCCTGTGCCCCTCATGCCTTCCTTTCTCCCACAGGTGCCAAAGGGTGGCAGCGTCCCACCGGCCACAGAAATCACCAAGACTCCAGTGGTGCCCCAGGCCCAGGAGAGGAAGCCCCAGGTGGCCTACAAAACCGAGATTGTTGGGGGGGTAGTGGTCCACACGCCCATCTCCATCAACCAGGTGAGCTGGTTTGCACTTCCATTCCTGGAAACAGCGTGCCTGCAAACCCTTTCCCCTGCAGTGTGAATGGCTGCTCGGAGCACCCTGAACACCTCTGCTTCTTCTCACTCTGAAGGGTGTTGAGGTGAGGAGGAGGAGGTCATGAATCTGCTCAGCTTCCTGGCCATCACCATCCACCCACGTGTCTTGGGTGCAAATCCTCTTCGGGTACCCAGGGCGGAGGAGCCCTGTGCCTGGTGTCCCCACCACAGCAGCCACAGGGACTGTCCCAGGGCTGGTGGCACCGCTTGCCGTGGCTCTGCATCCGCCTCCCTGGCACGCAGCTGGCTGTGCACGTGGCCATCAGCATCTCCCACGTTTGGGCATTGTCCAGCTCTGGGTCTCACTTCAGCTCTTATCGGTGGCAGCACTAAAAATAGAGAATTAGATCACTGCAGCAGTTTCTGCTTTTAACACTTCCCTGGCCACGGGGTTTGGCAGGATGCAGAGGTGTGTGGAGGGTTGTGGGGTGCAGAGGGGTTTTTTGGAGGTGGTGCATCAGCTGCCAGAATATTTCCGTGCTCTTGCTGCTTCCCCCGTGTGAAATGGCCATTCCCCTGCTGCAGCTTCCTGGGCGTGTCCGTGGTTTCCTGGCTGTGCCCCAGCCGGTGCTGCTGCAGGGCTGCACAGGGGAGTCCCACGCTCTGGCTGCACCCAGACCAGCTGGGAGCATCACCCCAGCTCCGGGGCATGTGGCACTCGGGGCTGCAGGAGTGTCCTCACCTCCGCTCTGGACACCACCTGTGCAATGCCCGGCAGAGCTGGCACAGCCCCGGGGCGTGGGTGGCATCCTGGTGCTGCAGGGGCCAGACAAAAAGCTGCTTGTCTGTCCTGGGGACACGGAAGCAGCTGGGGAAGGTGCTGGGCGGGCAGGTTCACCCCAAACCACAGTCCCCTGCTGGGGCCATATAAGGCTGGCAGTGGCCAGGGCCACCCCGCTGCCATGGCAATGCTCAAACCTCAGCCGAGGGAGGAAGGGCCATGAGGGATGGGGAAGAAGCTGAGGGTAGAAGATGTTTCATCTCAACCATCCTCTGTGCTGCTGGGGGGAAGGGAGGGTGCTGCTGGGATGGGTCTGGCCCTTGGGATGTGCTCAGGGGAGCCAGGGATGGGCACATGGTCATGACCAGAGCCCCTTTGTGCTCACAGCACTGAGCACTGCACTTGGGAGGGACAGCTTGGGGCCAGAGGAGGCACAGCTTCCCTTCCTGAACTCCAAACACCCAAGTATCTTTGGAAGAACTTGGCTCTGAAAATGAGAATCAGGGACTTTATGGCTTTTCTGAGCAATTTATTTCTGTGGTATATTGCCTTCTCCCATTGGAAAGCGCTCCTTTCTAGCTTGTGTTTGTCTGGTGGTTCTTGCTCTCCTCACACCCTCAGTGGTGCAGTCGAGTGGTGCTCATGCAGGATGAGCCAAGCAGGTGGGCTCTGTTAACTCCCCTGCTGCAGGGGATTATCTTCAGCCCTCAAATTGCTTTTCTGCAGCCCTTCTGATGTCTTGTTTTTAATGATTGCAAAAGAATGAATAGTACCAGGGCAGCAGCCCAGGGAGCTGCACACGATGAGAGAACATCATGAGCTCGGGCTCATTCCGTGTCCATGTTCAGCACTGCCACGAGCCCTTGGCTCACACACTTCACTCGGGGCTTGCCAGGTGGCTTTTCCCTGCAGCAGGGTGTCCTCCCTGCTGAAGTGGCTGTGTTCTCTCTGCTGCAGGACGGGGAGGGCAGCGAGGCGGGCGCCCACCCTCTGCTGCGGCGCTCGCAGAGCTACATCCCCCCCTCGGCCACCAAGCCGCCCGCCGGGCCAGCTCCCCTCAAGAGTGGCTTCTGCGTCAAGCAGGGCAACGTGGTGAGTGCCTGGGGCTGCCTGTGCCTGCAGGCCAGGGCTGCTCTGCTGCAGGACCTCCACAGAGAGTGGCAGGGCTGAGCGCTGAGCGATTTCCTGCTCTTTTCCAGAGGAAGAGCTGGAAGCGGCGGTACTTTGTTCTGGATGAGTTTTCCATCAGTTACTACAAGTGTGAGCAGGTGAGCTGCTCCCCCAGGACCCCGAGCAGGGCTCTGGAACCTCTGACACCTCCTCCTCCTCTGGGGGAGGCACATGCCAGCCCCGGGCCAGCCAAGCCCACCACTGTCTCCTCTCGCCTCTGCAGGACAAGGAGCCTTTGCGTTCGATTCTCTTGAAAGATGTTTGCAAGACCCACGAGTGCCTGGTCAAGTCTGGGTAATGCTCCCACCCGTGTTTCCCTGCTGTGCCCCAGGCTGGCCCAGGAGAGGGAGCTTGGGCTGCTCCAGCTGCTCGTGGGAAGCAGCTCTCGAGGTGTTTGCCCTAAACTAGCCCAGGCGGCTGCAGTGTCTCGGGAGCAAGTTGTTGCAGCAAACACTGATAAAATCAAAGTAATGTAAAGGCTTGCAATGAAAAATAACCTAAGAAAACAAACCTCTTCAGCTAAAGTAAAAATATTGTGTATTAATGTATCTCTGAACTGTTTATTCCTAATAAGTAATAGCAAGTTGATATTTAAAACGAGCAATGGATTATGGTGGGGGAGGGCAGGGGTTTGTTGGCTGATGTTAGAGCTGGGGGATTTCTGGCTGATGTTCTCTGGGGATCTGGACTCTTCTCAAAATCCCAATGAGATCCAAGGTTTGCCTTCAATACATTCCTCCCCAGCACACTCCAGAGATGAAGATAAATACAGGGTTTTTTCTGTCCACGACGGCTGCTGGGGTGTGACTGTCTCTTTCTCACTGTTTCTAGTGACCTCCTGATGCGAGACAACCTCTTTGAAGTCATAACAAGCTCCAGGACCTTCTACATCCAGGTGAGCAGCTGGGGCCAGGATAATTTTTGGGGCAGAAAGTTCAGCTCTTGAAAAATGGGGTGTTCCCCACAACTCTTCACCAGTGAACACGAGCAGATGGGGCTGTAACACGCGAGTGTGAAGGAGAACTGTGAGGGATTCACTTCTGCCTTGGGATTGTTTATGATAGGGGCTGTTTGTGGGAGCAGGAGAAGGCAGAGCTGAGCCTTGGGAATGCCAGGACAGCTGAGCCTCACTGGTGTAGCCATGATATTTTATGAAAAATCCTTTCCTAGGATTTTTCCTGTCCTGAGGAGCTGAGATCCTCAGGAAAGAAATGTAAACAATAACTATCTGCTGCTGTGGAATGCAACAGGTGCATCTTCCATTGGTCCGTGTGGATTGTTTTCAATTCACTGGGGCTGCTGTGTTTGCAGGCAGACAGCCCCGAGGAGATGCACAGCTGGATCCGCGCAATCACAGGGGCGGTGCAGGCCCTGAAAACCCGTCCCAGGGTAGGCCACGTACTTCCCATTTCACATTTAGCATCTCATGGAGATGACACCAACATACAAAACACTTATTCAGTGCATTATCTAACCAGCCTGGCTGTCCCCTGTCCCTGCAGGAGATGTCCTTCATGAGAGCCACCTCCGTGGCCAGGCCCGGCGGCTCCTCGGGCCCCTCGCAGCCGCGGCCGTCGGCGGAGGAGCGGCGAGCCTCGTGCAAGGCGCCCTCCACGAGCTCCTGGCAGCCCTGGACGCCGGTGCCGCAGGCCGAGGGGCAGCGGCCGGCGCTGGGGGGGCTGCCAGCCCCGCTCAGGGACTCGGTGTTCGTGCCGGCGCTCACGGAGCGCCAGGGCAGGGCCGCGGCCGGCACGCGCCTGCGGCACCGCTCCGAGCCGCAGCACCTCAAGGAGAAGCCGTTCGCCTTCGACCTGGATGATGAAAGTATCCGGACCTCCGACGTGTGAGAGAGCACCGAGACGCCCCCCGGCTCCACGCGCCGCCTCCCCGGATCCCCGTGGGGCGGTTTGGGTCCCTTCCCTCCGCCACGGCCTTCCCTGTGACACAGGACCCACGTCCGCACGGCGCACCACCCCACCACAGGGTCCCTGGCTGCTCCTGCCCACGCCTGGCCCCAGTGGTTCCATGTCTTGGAGGGTGCTTCAGGCACTGCCGGCGCTCACTGTGCAGGGCAGGAGGTGCTGGGGACCTGCAGAGGGGACATCTTCTGCAATTGCATCGTTTACCCCACAAACCAGGTCTGGAGGAAGTGGCAGGTCTTGAAGGCGTGAGGGGGAGTGTGGCCTTTCTCGTGTTTGTAAAATGTTTCTCTCCCCTCTGCTGCTGCTCAGATTCCCCAGGGCAGAGCTGGGAGCCACCAGCCTGCAGCTGCCCACACAGGGGACCCACTGCAGCTTCCCCTTACGGTGACTTATTCCCTCAGAGATCTTCCCACTGCCCACACAAGGGTTTATCAGCAATCTGCTGGCTTTTAATTATGTCTTTTTATACGTGTGGCTCCTGTTGAACCCCAGCCTGGGCAGGTACTCAGCCCCTCCACAACGCTTTTGGTACTTCCTGAGCATGAGCCAGGGCAGGCAGCTGGAGCCACGGTGGCTCTCAGGTGGGAGAACCCTCAGGTGTGAGGTTGGTTTTGCACTGCACACACCTGGGCACAGGGAGCCGTGCCAGATGGTGAAGGGCTTTTAGTGAAAAGCACTGAAACCCAGCCCTGGTGGAGCTGGGCAGACTTGTCCGGCCAACTCACCCACTGCCTGCCCGAGATGGAAACCAGCAGGAGTTTCTAGAGCAATGTGAATCGTCATTTCCATAACCTAATGAGCTCCTGTAGGTGTGATAAGTAGTGTGTAGAAAATCCAGGTGTTCCCTTGGCAGAGATTGTCTGATACCTTCACCCTGTAAGTGTGTGCAATCCCCACAAGTGTGTGCAATCCCCACAAGTGTGTGCAATCCCCGTGTGCAGAGCGAGACCTCAGCTCCCCTTTCCCTTCCCTGGCTGTGACACGTCCTCTGCTCTGCAAGCTCAGCCCAGTGTGTTCCCCGGGAGCAGAACATCTGCTTTGTCCCAGCCCTTTTGGGGCCTCCAGCTGGTGTAGAAAATCCAGGTGTTCCCTTGGCAGAGATTGTCTGATACCTTCACCCTGTAAGTGTGTGCAATCCCCACAAGTGTGTGCAATCCCCACAAGTGTGTGCAATCTCCGTGTGCAGAGCGAGACCTCAGCTCCCCTTTCCCTTCCCTGGCTGTGACACGTCCTCTGCTCTGCAAGCTCAGCCCAGTGTGTTCCCCGGGAGCAGAACATCTGCTTTGTCCCAGCCCTTTTGGGGCCTCCAGCTGTTTGGCAGCTGTGCCTGAGCCTTGACTAGCCTGACTGACCTTAATGTGATGCCAGTTGTACTTTTCTGCCTCAGTGCCCGTGGGGCTGCTGCAGGATGGGCACAGCACAGGCACCTCTGTGCTGCTGGGGGAGGCAGGAATGGGCTCCCCCAAGTTCCAGGGGGAAGAGGGTCTCAAAGGGGATTGTGTGGAGGTGTTGGAGGACACAGAGACCATGAAAATGAGTGGGAATTGATGCAAATGGTACAGGGTGAGTGTTAATATTATTTAATTGTAGCTACCTTGATCCTGCTGTTCCTTTTTCTGCTCCTTTTTGCTTTATTTGCACTAGAGTTTGAAACTTTCATTTTTTTAGGCTGACTTGCTGTTTGGCTCCTAACACTGTTTTAGTAGTTTGGCAAGCCCATCCATCAGAGAGTTGCAGCGTTCTGATCTCAGTTTTGGAGAGCAGGGAATGCAGAGGGATGATGGTTCTTTTGTGCAAGGCCTTGGAACCACAGACTCCTGAGTATTCCTGGTGCTTGATAATTGCACAGTTTCCTCAGGCCTGGGAAGGTAAAGCAGAGGCTTGTTGCACAATTAAGGTAATTATCCAGGAGCAGAAACTACCAGTGGCTCCAGCACTATTGCAACATTCCTCTTGCTCGTTCCCACCCTCCTGCATCCCCAGGACAGCAGAGGCTGAAGGTGAGGTTCAGACAAGCGTGGAGCTCAGCTGGGCTCCAGAGCCATCCACAACACAGGTGGTGTTGGGAGGGAGGGATTTCCCTGCCGTTCCAGAGGGCTGGGTGGATGCAGCCAGACCTCGATGGAGCTTTGTGGTTGTTTCAAATCAAACTGGTTTCCCTCAGCTCTGTGTTGGCTCCTGGCTCAGGCGTGGATGGACGCACCCCCTGAAGCTGCTCCCTCCTGAATTGTGGGCTGGGGGTGCTGCACATTTGGGGCCAGAGCAGTGGGAGAGAGGGGTTTGCTATTCCCACGTGGTTCCAGATGTTTCTGGAAGCGCTGCCTGGGGATTCCAAGTGCTCTTAGGGCTGGGGCCCTCTGTGACTCCCAGGGTGGGGGCTACGTGCCTCCCACCCCTCGCCTGTACATGCTGCAATGCCCTTTGTCCCCCGTGTTTTTAAATAAAGAAGGAAATGCCAGTTACTTTCCCCAGCTGTCCATTTGCAGTGTGTGTTTTGGGTAGGGGTTGGATGCTGTCCCCAGCAGGGTGCAGCAGCTGGGGAGAGCCCAGGAGCACCAGGGGCTGCTCCCCGTGCTCACGGTGCTGCTGCCCTACACAAGGAGGGAACAGGGCAGGGACACCACAACTCCTCGTGGAACAAGGTCCCAGATGTTCCTTGGGGAGGAGGGAAGCTGCTGGACCAAGGTCCTGCTGTGTTTGCAGTGGGGGGCTGGAGACATGGGAGCTGTTATTGACAGTGGGCTTTTCATTGGGTTTTTTTGGGTTTGTTTTTTTTTTGTTTGTTTGTGTGGGTTTTTTTTGTGGTTTTTTTGTTTTGTTTTGTTTTGTTTTTGTTTGGTTTTTTTTTTTCTTTCTGGGTCACTGCAGAACTTTTTCCCATCCACGGACTTTCCAGCCCAGTTGTTCTCCTGAGGAATGGCATTTTCAGGACAAAGCTGCCCCCCAGCTGAAGCTGCCAAACTGGGAGCGTGTGTTTGCTGTTTTATCTCAATTATGACTGGACATTTGCATACACAGATTTTGTGTCTGGCTCTGGCTGGGACTCGTTGCAGCTTCCTTTTCCCATTTTATTCAGCTTGGTAAGTTTTTAACCTGCAGCTGGTGGGGCTTCCTCTTTCGGGTGTGAGGTTCTTGCACCCTTTGGGTGCTGCAGGTGCCCTGTGCAGGGGCTGCAGCCAGAGGGGTGCCTGGCACACAGACAGGAGCTGCCCCCTGGCACCTCTGCCCCCTTCCCAGCTCCCTGACTGCTCCCACATGGCCCATGACCCCAAGATAACCAGGACTCTGGATTAATGGGCTGGCTGGGGGGGCTCAGGGCTAGACCATGACCCTGTGACTTTCATCTCTGTGTGGCTGTCATCTACTAATCCCCAAAGTACGTGCAGTCAGCTTCTTCCACATTTTATTGTTTTTTTGACCCCCCTGTGTTCGCAAGCTCTGATTTCTGAAGCTGTCACTATTTGCAGCGGGAAGCCAGATTATTTCAAACAAGCAAAATATATCCTGAACAACTTGGTATAGAGTCATTACCAAGAGGAACTGCTGTGCACCCTGAGCTACAGTTCTGTGAGTCCACGTTGTGCCAGGCAGAGCTGGCAGCGAGCAGAGGCACCCAGGGCCCTGCCCCTGCTCAGTACACGGTGCACCAGTTGCTGCCATCACTGGGCATCAGCCCGCCGGTGATCAGCAGGATCAGATCCACAAACCACCAGATGCCCAGGCCCCCCAGCGTCAGCAGCTTCCCCACGGCGGTGCCGGTGTGGCCCAGGCAGAACCGATCCACGCCGAAGCAGCCCAGGAAGAAGGAGTAGAGCAGAGTGGTGATGAAGTAGTGTCCCGTGTACCTGCGGGAGAAGACGCGGCGGGGTCAGGGGGTGTCGGCGCTCCCCGCCGGACCAGCCCCGCTCCCGGGGGGGTTCGGCCCGGTGGTTTTGGAGGGGACAGGGACTCTCCTACTTGACGCAGGGCCGGCTGCCCCGCAGGAAGCTCCGCGGCTCGGCGCACTCGATGCCGTCCAGCGCCCGGCACTGCACTCGCGTGTGATCCACCTCGCCGTGGGCCTGGCCGCCGAACTGCGGCGGGGGCAGCGCTCAGCGCCCGCCGGGGCCCGGGGCCCGCCGGGGCCGCCCCCGCCCCGCCCTCACCTTCACGCAGCCGTGGCCCAGCTCCTGCTGCGCCGTGGCGTTCCCGCCGTGGTCCACCGGCTCCTCGCACTCCACGAACTCATCGGGGCTGCGGGGAAGGAGTGAGGTGGGGAGGGAGGGTGGGAGGCCGCGCTCCCCGCCGCGCCCCGGCCCGGCGCTCACAGGTAGGTGCACAGGACGAGCGGCGCCCGCGGGTCGCTGTAAGCCCAGGCGGCGGCGGGCGGCCCCGGCGGCAGCTCGCGGGGCTCGGTGTCGTTGTCCGGGAGGCCGCGGCCGTGCAGGAGGAGCAGGTTGCCGAGGAGGAGCGCGGCCTGCCCGCACAGCAGCGCGTACCCCACGGGCGGCGCCATGGCGGCACCGCCGCCCCGCTCGGCCTCGGGCCGCACCGCCCGCAGCCAATGGGCGCCCGCCGTCGCGCCGCCCCGGCCGCCCGCAGCCAATGGGCGCCCGCCGTCGCGCCGCCCGCAGCCAATGGGCGCCAGCCGCTCGCAGCCTCTCCGAGCGAAGCGGAAAAAGCTGAGGAAGCGGCAGCGAAGGGCGTGGCGGAGGGAGTGCGCGGCAGGAGAGAAGATGATTGGCTGCCGGGGAGGCTGGCGGCCAATGGGCGAAGGCGAGGGGCGGGGCGCCGGTGCGGTGCTCGGGACCGAATCCCGGGGCCGCACCGGGGCAAGCGGGGCCCGGCCGGAGCCCAGCCGGGACTCGGGGACCTCTCACACGGGGACCCCTCTCTCGGGGACCTCTCCCTCGGGGACCTCTCCCTCGGGGCGCGCCCGCCGCGCTCACCCGAAGAGCGGACACCCCTAGCACCGGAGAAGGGCTCTCAGGGGCCCGTGTTGCCGGTAACGGGCAGCGCGGCGGCTCAGCGGCCACAGCAGCGACTGCTCCGCCCGAGCTGGCCGTTGTGCTCGCTCAGCGCCACCCCGCCCTGTGGGAGTGGGAGGCAGCCTGGGTTCGGGTGCATTCGTGCTCTTTTCCGCAGTAAATTGGCTCCACTTTGCCCATACTTGCTCCCAATGTGAAGGGTTTGTTCCTGATTTTTCTGGAGGGTGATGCAGAGCTCCGAGTTGCCATGGCAGGTTGTCCACCGGCGGCTGGTGGAGCAGGGCAGTTTGTCTGGTGTTTGTAGCGGAGGGCAAAGCTGTGATGCCTTCTCATCCTGGGGAGTTTCTCCTGCTCACCTGTACCTGTGGTATTGCCCAGCCAGGGGCTGACATGGTGCGTTCTCATGTGCTTCCAACACATTATGAAAAGGTTCTTTCCCTTTGGGGGTTGGTGGGCACTGAACAGGCTCCCGAGAGAAGGGTCACAGCTCCGAGGCTGTCAGAGCTCCAGGAGGGTTTGGCCAGCGCTCCCAAGGGTGCACAGGGTGGGATTGTCGGGGTCGGGAGTGGGACAGGACCAGCCCAGGATATTCCACGGCTCTGCGCTTCCAGCGTGCAGCGCAGCTTTCCGGCAGGCAAGCCCAGCAGAGCCGCGCTGCCCGCACTCTGCGCTGACACCGGCTCCCTTTGCGGGCGTTTCCTCCGGGACCCAGCGCTTCTGGCCGAGGCTCTTCCCGTCCCTGTCGGGGCCGTGCCGGTGCCCGGGACCGTGCTGGGCCCCGGGGAGGTGCCGGGCCGTGTAGGGCCCGGGGCGGGTGGTCGGTCCCGGGGCCGTGCCGTGCCCTGCCGGTCCGTGCGGGGCGGTGCCGGTGCCCGGGACCGTGCTGGGTCCGGGGCTCCCGGGGCCGTGCCGGTCCTTGCGGGGCGGTCGGTCCCGGGGCTGTGCCGGGCCCTGTCGGTCCGTGCGGGGCGGTGCCGGTGCCCGGGTCCGTGCCCCGGCCCGGCTGCATAAGGCCGCGGGGCCGCCGGCCGGACCCAGCGCCCCACGGGAGGGGCGATGTGGGCAGGGGGTGTCATGGCCCGGGCCTGGAGCTGCTTCTGTCGCCTCCTCATCTTCCTCATCTTCCTCCTGCCGCCGCCGGCCGCGCCCGGGCAGCCCGCGGGTGAGTGCGCGGGGCCGGGCCGGGCCTGCCGCCCGCAGCCCGCTCGGCCCCGTTCCCTTTCCCGGACAGCGCCGTTCCTCTTTCCCCGTCCCTTCCGGAGGGTCGGGTCCCCCCTTGTCACTCCTCCCCGGGGCAGCCGCTTCCCCTGCCGTGCCCTCCAAGGGGTCCGGTGGGGCAGAGCCCCCGCAGCCAGGCCAGAGCGGGGGTCCTGCCCGCTGGCCCCGTGTGCCCCGCGGCGGTGCCCGGCGGTGGCCGCTGCCAGCCGGAGGGCGTGTGGGTGGCAGCACCATCGGTGCCCTGCCCAGCATCGCCAGTGCCAGCGTGCTCCTCTCAGGGATGCTGCCGAGGGCCCAGCGGGACAGCGGGGCTCCAGTGTGGGGGTCATGGAGCTCCAGACGGGAGCTGATCCCGGGACCATGGAGCTCCAGACGGGAGCTGATCCCGGGACCATGGAGCTCCAGACGGGAGCTGATCCCGGGACAGCGGGGCTCCGGTGTGGGGACCATGGAGCTCCGGTGTGGGGGCCGTGGAGCTCCGGTTTAGGGCCCATGGAGCTCCAGACAGGAGCTGATCCCGGGACAACAAGGTTCCCGTGTGGGCCCATGGAGCTCCTGATGGGGGCTGATACTGGGGCAGCGGGGCTCTGGTTTAGGACCCATGGAGCTCCACATGGGAGCTGATCCCGGGACCATGGAGCTCCAGTTTAGGGCCCATGGAGCTCCAGACAGGAGCTGATCCCTGGACAACGAGGTTCCCGTGTGGACCCATGGAGCTCCAGACAGGAGCTGATCCCAGCAGTGCCCTCGGGTCCCGGCACACCTGCCCAAGCTCGCAGGTGGCTCTTTGCTCCTCCATCCTCCTGGGTCAGCTCCGTGCTCTCCCGGGAGCTCCGCCCGGCTCTTTTGGAGCAGGAGGTAAAGCCCCCTGGCAAAGCAGGGATGCAGGGCTGTCTGGTCACTGCAGGCTCCTTGGCCATCCAGGAGCTTGGGTTTGGGGCAGAGCCACGCAGGTGCTGTCCCCAGGGAGGAGGGCAGGACTCAGTGCCATCATTCTGCATGGCTTTTAAGGAGTTGGTCCCGTGCTGTCCTTAGGGACTGTTCATGAATTGAGATAGTTCTGTTTATGGGTTCTTATGGTGCTGGTTCAAGGCTGTGCATGCATGACAGAAATGCCTCCTCTGTCATTGTTTCCCCCTCCTGAAGGGACACATGCACTGTGTAAAACTTTTGTGTCTGTCATTAATGCATGTTTTTGTAGTCAGGTCTTCCCAACTGAGGAATATACAACTTGATACTGGTGCTTCGTGCTGAGGACAGTGCTTATGTGGTGTGTGCCTCTCCCTGAGGGATTCTGTGCTGGAATCTCTTCCTCTCACTTGCTGCGTTGTTGCTGGAGGGTGTGTGAGCTGTGTGAGGTGAAAGTCAGCTTTGAGAGGTGGTGCAGCACGTTGGGAGCTGCCTGGCTGAGGAGGCTGAGGAGTGATGCCTGGAATTGTGCATCTCTGAGATGTCAGGTGCTTGTGCATCCAGTGGGGTGCTTGGTGTTTTAGGAATAAGATTTTAGTTCCTGCCTGTAGGAAAGAAACACTGGTGCCAGTTCCTAATGATGGATGGTAGTGATCCTCTCTGCTGTTGTAATTCTTTGTCCCAGCTATTAATGCCAAACCTTCCATGAAATATAATGAACCTCTCTTGCTTGAATGTGAGTATGAAGGGGAGGGTAGAAACCTCCAGCTCTTGGATTATAATGTTGGTGCTTTTGACACACATAGGGATGTAAGGCACAAGTGGAGTGTTACCAGAAATTATAATCTGAAAATTCCTGAATGACCATAATCACATAGTGGTGTGCAGCCTTAAGGGATTTGTGTGTGTGCTTTTCCCTCTCTTGTTTGTGTCCATAGGAGCCTTCAAGATTTGACTATATGGATTCAAAAAAATTCACAGGCAGACACTGCTTTGTACTACTCCATCTCTTTCTTGATACTTGGTGTTATACACATACCAAGATGTTCCAGCCAGGCTTGACCACAATTCTTGAAGTGTCTAAAAGCTTGAGATTAAATTGCTGGGGAGATAGGGTGTTTGGTTAAGATAATTCTTTTGTTCAGATCACAGAAAACACAGCCCTGCCTCACCCATATTGCAACAAATCTGGGACAATCATTCAGCAAAGAGTGAGTTTGTGGTTATTTCCTCATGTGAAAAGGAAAGAGAGGAAAGAATTTCAGTGTGGCTAACGTTGCCTCTTGTAATGCCTTGCTTTTGGAAAAAGGAAGTTAGGACCAGGACTTTACAGTTTCTGCATGTCTTGATCATTATTATTTCACAAGCTAAAAATCAAAAAAAAAGGTAAGAATGTGCATTTCACAGTTCCCTTTGGTGGCCAGATGTAAAGCCAGTGATGTCTCCAAAGAGAAGCTTCCCACGGAGTCAGCTGAGAAAGCAGAGCTGGTGAGATGGGGAGGAAGTGAGTGGGCTCAGCACGCTCAGCCCCTGTCCATGGGCACGCTCTCATGGGTGGAAGGGAGTGACTCAGGGCCAGTGACCCCCAGGAGGGTTCATCTTGCTGCACACAGCACAGCTTTACCCTGCTGCTCCTTGTGGGGAGGCTCCGAGGTGCAGAGGATGTGGTGACAGTACCAGTGGACACTTGTGACAGTCCTTTTTGTAGAACAAGGGGAGCTGTTGTCTTGCAGACGAGTTAGGCTTTAGGGAGGGCAGAAGGAATGGGGAGAGTCTAGACAGGAAACACTTACAGCATAGGTCTGGATTTCAGCAAGGGGTGTAAGAATTTTCTAGGAAATATTTCTGTGGAAGAGCTCCGTAACCTGATCAACATCCAACATCCCCAGTGAAATACCAAAAGAAACTTCACAAACTGCTCTGGCCAGGTTTAATGTTATACAAATATTCCAGGTGAGCAATACATACAGAGGAATTTGCTTCTCTTGCCATGAGAATTGCTCATCTCTTCCTGCCTCCTCAAAAGCACAGCAGGACACCCAGCAGGTCTGAAGACTGAGAACAGGGGAGGGAGAGGTGGAAAGAAAAGTCCCAAGGAGTGGAGCCTGTAGAAGAACAGCTGGCCAGATGTTCCCAGGTGTTTTCAAGATGAAACACCACTGAGGCACTCTTTAGTGTTTGAGGTTTGGGAGGAGCTGGAACTGCTGGCTCCACGGAAAACACTGCTACATTTAGAAGAAGACTTGCTATCTTTGTGTTTTCTGTAAACCTCTAAACATTTTTAAGTGGACTTGGATAATATTTGCATAGTGAAAGTGAAGGAGGTTTTTGCTTGCAGTACTCCAAAGAGTAAATCCTACTTCAGCTGTGACCTCAGTGCAAAAGTCAAGTGCACCAAAAAAATGCTTTTCCTGGTGTGTCGTTGCCTGGAGAAACCCACCAGCAGTGCTTCTGTTGTTTTGAAGGACATACGTAAGTAAGCCAGGTCATGAAGCTTCTCCTCAGACTCTGCTTGGCAAACTCCTGTATGATTCTGAAAATAGGATATGGAGAATGCAGATTGAGCTGGCAGCTGGTACCTCCCAGTCAGATGGGATTCAGGCTCCATAAAGACTGGGACAGCAATCCCGGTGATCTGAGCATGGGAGAAGTACCTGTCAGAAAGAAGTGGCTTTGAAAGGATGGGACAGAATGTTCTGCTGAGGTGGAAATAATTGTACAAGTATGAGAGGGTGAAAAATGGGGAGCAGGAACATGTTGGCAGCAAAGGAAATGAGTGTCAGAGGAGGTTAAATGCCAGGTGGATCAGACATGTGCTGTCTGTTTTGAAGGTGAGTTTAACTGTGGAAATCCATAAACACACAGAGCATGCGTGCCTTGGTGTGTGTGAGGCCTCACTGGGCTGCTGTGGGGCTTTTTGGGATAGGTGTGCCTGGAGAGTGGAGCCAGAACAGCCTGAAATGAGCAGGCACAGGTGTAAGGAAATACTGAATGTTGATGCTCCTTAGGAAAAGAGAGACAGGCACACTGGAAATATGAAGATGTGGAGCTAGAGGGAAGGGGGTGAATGGCTGCCCTGCTCTGGGGCTCAGAGGTGCAGCTTGAAGCACAAGGAGCTGATTGTTGGGGTCAGGAGTGCTCGGTGGAGATGCTCCGTGTGGAACTGGTCCTGGTGGGCTGGATGGCTGCGTGATGCCTTTGGCACTTCTGGTGAGCAATCCCCTGCCAAAGTGTGGAATGACTCCTGCAGCTGACCTCAGCTGTTAATTGTAATCAATTGATGATAACTGCAGTTAACTTAATGAATTTTGATTTTAGCAGCTGACCTGCTCACATGCGGATGAGTTGTTTTTATGAAATTAGCTTGTTTTGTGGTTGTAACAGGCCACAGGCTGAACTTTCCTCTTCTTAATTTTTTTTCTTCTGTTGAAGAGTGTATCTTTGACCTTCCGTTGCTAGGCTTGGGAAGGAGGCAGGGCTCAGGAAGGAGTCACAGCTCAGGAAGGATGGAAATTGAGGGGAAGGGTGAGTGAGTAGGTGGATGTAGCTGTGTGCTGTGATTCTGTATCTGAGCCAACAACCCATGGGCATGCCAAGGTCTAGCAAGACAGGGGATGCAGTCTGACCTCTGCTGAATGTAATCTTACCTGTCAGGCACCCCCAGAACACCTGGACACCCCCAGAGCTTCCCTCAGTGTCTGGAGAATTGTTCTGGCTGGGATGTGTCCCGGTGGTTTTCAAGCTCCCACATGCCATGAAGCATGCATGGAATTCCTATGGTGGATGTGGGGTGGGGAGGGGAAGATGAATCACATCTTCCTAGCTGTCTCCAATGCTTGGTAATTAATGGCAGCCTTTAATGAGAGAGATAAATATGGTCATGGATGCAGTTGTGTTTTTCTGATGGGAAACAAAATCTCAGCACGGAAATGGGTCATCAGCATGTCATGTCCTCAGCAGTGACGTGGTGCAGCTCCAACAGCTCCCAGAAAGCACCTGACCATTAGAAGTCCTGTAACTTGCTGAAAAATTGATCCCAAACTCTACCTGGCCTTTGTAAAAGGAAAATGTGGGAGCAGGGTTGGCTTCCTGCTTGGCTGCACTTGTCCCTTGGGTTGGATTTTTGTTGAAGTGCTCTGGGCCCTCTCTGAGAGTTGCTGGTGATGTGTGAAATGCTGCACAGGGCCCTGGGCATGGAAACAGCTTCCTTGGGAAGTGAGGGGCAGTGCCAGGGACATTCCTGCTGGGGACCCCCACCCCCATCACCTCTCAGAGCAGGGGGGTGAAGGATGGGAAGGGGGGCAGAAAGTGGGGATAGAACTCTCAGAGCATTCAGAGACTTGAAAGCTGGCCACTTTTAGTGCTGTTGCTCTAAGAGGATCCTCTTGGAGTTGTTCTCTTCCCAGAAATCCCTCCCAGTTCTGCTTCATGTGATGATTCATTTACTTATTTTCTGCGTCCAAGCTGCTCTTGGGCAAACGTGTGTGTGTTCCAAGCCCTGCCAAGGCTGGCTGTGCCCTGCTGGTTGTGTCACCTGTGCCTCGAGAGCCTGGCCCGAGTGTCCCATCCCCTCTGCTGAGGGTGGGGATGGGACAAGTGCAGAGCAGTGCCCTGCAGGGGCTCGGGGCTGGAAGTGACAAATGGACAGAAGTGCTTGCTGCAGCGTGTGCTTTTGGTGGTTCATTCCAGGGAAGGAAGCAGCCCTTCCCTCCCTTGTTTTCAGGCCAGGGAGGTACTGACACTGTGTTCAGGGGCTGTTTGCAGGAATTTTATCTCTGCTTTTTTTAATACTTTTTATCTCCAAACACCACAGTGATGAAAGCTCTGCTGCAGTCTGTGCCCTGTGTGAGTTCTGAGAAGCAGTGACAGAAATGCTGTGTGACAGAGCAGGACAGCACAGTGCATCTGAGGCCTCCTGCCATGGCCACGTGTGCTGTGACAGGAGCTGGCAGTGACCTGCTGGCTTGTTCTTTGGGGCTGGTGGTGGCAAGAGTGTGCAAGGGGCTTGCTTTTTCCTCAGGATGCCTTTTTGAGTGCTCCCCCGAGGTGATGATGATGATGATGATGTGTGTCAGCTTGCCAGGGGTGGGAAGGCATCTGAAGGAGCCTGAATGCCACTGCAGCCTGGTGCTGCTTGAACCCCTGGCATTTAAAGCCTGCCCATTTTCCAAAGGATGGAGCAGGCCTCTCATGGAGGCTTTGAGCTCACAGTGCTGTCCTGCAGCTTAGAGAAGCCAAAGGCCCTTTGGACACGGAGTGTGAGTTCTGGTATGCTCACAGGGGCTGCTTTGAACTGCATGCAGCATCTCAGTCCCACTTGAGAGATTTTTGGAGGGTCTTGGACACCAAACACTCGCTCACCTGCCCCAGACATAGTGATGATTTCTGGAGACAGACAGTGGGGATAACTGTTCCCTTCCCCCTGCCTTTGTTGGGGAGCTCAGACTCCTCTGATGAGCTCATTGATTCCCTTGCCATGAGCCAGGAAAACTATTTTTCTGGCTGCTGCCTGTGGTCTGGCTTGGCCATCCTCCTGCTTCCTGGGTGAGCAGCTGCGAGCCAGGCACCAGCAGATGCCACCACTGATGGGAAAAGTAATTTGCATGCACAATTTATTATTGTTTACATAGTTAATATAAAACAGCTTGCAAAAACTGATAAAGGGAGCTTGGACTGTGGACTTGTTTGGTTCAGGGGATCTGTCTGGTGTTGCACGTGCAAATAATATTTAAAGGAATCTGGAACAGCTTCTTTGTTGCAGGGATTTGTCTCACCTCAGTTGTTTTGATGAGGCCCTTGGGAGCTTTCTAAAAGCATAATAAATAGTAGCACCAGCCTCAGGGCTGTTTGGCTGTGTGTGCAGGGCCAGGGTGAGGCTGAGCTGCGTCAGGAGAAGAGCAGGAGCTGCTGGAGCTCCTTGAGAGAGGTTGCATGGGGCAGCTTTGCAGCACAGGACACTTGGTGTGACCCTGGGTGTCCCTGAGTGTGTCCTTGCTGTGCTGAGCTGCCTGAAGTGCTGATTCTGCTGGTGAAGAGGGGTGGTACTGGTCAGACACTATTTGCAATGTGGAGATGTCAATTTGAAACTTTCTGGAAAAATTGGTGTCTCCTCTGTTGTTTGTGTGTTGTTTTCTCTGGCCCCTGCAAGGCAATCCAAGTGTGCCTTGCTCTGTGCTCTTCTGTGTGTGGACTTTTCCTGAAGTAGTGTTTTCTTCCTTGTGCTTCATCCTCTTGGTTGCTTTGTTCCTTTAGCCAGTGTGTCTGTTCTGCTCTCCAGGTTTCCAGGAGATTTCCCTGCTCACTTCCTACGAAGTTGTAACTCCACAGAGGTTGGGAAGAGAACGACGAGAGGCTTCCAACAGCTCCTCCATACAGGTACTGGGCTCTCTGAGACACATCTTCAGTTCAGTGTCTGCTTCCAAATGAAGTCTGCCCAAAACTGACCTGAAATGCCCGTGGGATGCTGCTGGATGCACCTGGCAGCAGGGAAATGTCTGTCCTTGCAGAGAGCATCACCTCTGGCACTGCTGGCAGCTGAGGGACAGGAGTACCTCCCTCCTCCTGAGGTCAGGAGTTGCTGCAGTGGATTTTTGATCTGGGTGTAAAACTTGCATCATATTCAGTAAAAAGCTGTGTTGTCCTTTTCTGGCTCTGACTTTGAAATTTCTGTGGAAGTTTTAGAAGGAAAGAACAAGAAAACCACATTTCTATTTTGAAACCATTTCCTTCATGGGATTTTTCCCCAGTCACACAGGAAGGGATGCTGAGTTCTCAAGGCAGGGACAATTATAAAATAAATTTCAGACCACAATTGTTGGTTTCAAAGACTGTTTCATTCATTAACATGAGTAAAATCCACCTTTCTTTATATTCAGGACAAGGTGTCATATGCTGTTGAGATTGAGGGAAAAGAATACACCATTCATCTAGAAAAGAACAAGTAAGTGATTAATTTCTTTAAATTATTCAATTACTCAAACTGTTTTGAAGAGATTGAGTTCTAGTGTCCTGGCCATCAGCCAGAGATGTTTTTTGATTCCTGCAGCCCTGGGGAACCCCCTTCAGAGCAGGAAGCTGCAAATTACTCCGAGGAGACCCAGGGAATCTACAACTCTTTCTATTCACAGCTAAAAATAAACGAGCTGAACTGTGTTTCAAGTAAATATTTTCACTTTTGTCTGGATCTTGTTTATTGGTTTAGTTTTGTGTTTTTTCCTGACTCAGTAGCACAAGGACACTAATAAATGAGAAAACTGACTCTCTCCAAGGTCTGAATGCTGAGACCTCACAGCTGATGCAGCCTCTGTCTGCCTGGGGTTTAAGGGCAGCACCAGCACGTGGTCATTTACCAAACTGGCCAAACTGCCCTTGTGATAGAGACACAACTGTGCAAGCCCCTGGGGAGCTCCAGCTGCCACTTGCCAAGGCCCTGACCCTCAGAAGTGTGGGATTTTAGCTGCACCACATCAATGGAATTGCCAGCATGGTGCAGCAGGCTGAGTCGTGGGAGACTTTCCAGTGCACTTCCTCCTCAGTCTGGGGAGGAGAAGGCATGTGCAGCAAACTGAGGGCTGGAATTTTTTTTTCCTGCTTGGAAACAGGCTTTTAGCACAATTTAATGGGTTTTGCTGGTTGTTCTACTCTCTGAGGTGAGGTGGTTTGTTTTATTTCATTATCAGTTCTACCATTCTTCTCTCTTGAATTTTGCTGTGAAAATATACTATTTCTTTGTTAATTTTTGAGGGTTTTTCTTTTTAATGTTTCCTTATTTGATTTCAATTTACATATTTGTCACACTTTTGATTAGGGCCATCTTACTGCTGTGTTCCAATGTCACAGTCATTCCATGAAATTCCTCTTGTATTCCTTGTCCCCTGTCATTGCAGAGAACTGCTGCCCAAAGATTTCACAGTTTATACCTATGACAAGGAGGGAAAGTTGCAATTGGACTATCCAGATGTCCAGGTAGGATTTCCTTCTCTTCATACCCTCACTGAGGGTGACTGCAACAGAGCATCTGTGGGATGAGGGAGTTGGGATTACAAAAGGATAGTTGTATTTTCTGCTGGGCTCCCTTCAGTACCCACTGCCCTCTTCCTGGAGAGAATCTTTAATTTTGGATGAGGCTCTAACCTGAGAAAAACCTGTATTTTCTGCTGTGGGGGTGGCTGCTGTCTCAGAAGCTGCTCCTCTCTACAAGGCAGTGCTGTTGTGTCTCGTTATTGGGGTACTGCTGGAAGGGATGGAAGTGTAGCTATAATATTTTATGAATATTCTCTTCAGCTTCCTGAGAAGCTGAAGACTCTCATGAAAGAAATGTAAACAATAACTGTCTATTACTGTGGAATGCAACAGGTGCATTTTCTGTTAGTCTATGTAGATTGTTTTCAATTGATGACCAACCACAGCCACTTGTGTCGAGGCTGTGAGCAGTCACAAGCTGAAGAGTCTCAAGAAAGAAATGTAAACAATAACTGTCTATTACTGTGGAATGCAACAGGTGCATTTTCTGTTAGTCTATGTAGATTGTTTTCAATTGATGACCAACCACAGCCACTTGTGTCGAGGCTGTGAGCAGTCACAAGATTTTGTTATGCATTCTGTTCCTGTTTACTGTGGAATACAACAGGTGCATTTTCTGTTAGTCTATGTAGATTGTTTTCAATTGATGACCAACCACAGCCACTTGTGTCGAGGCTGTGAGCAGTCACAAGATTTTGTTATGCATTCTGTTCCTGTTCTTTTTAGTCTTCTAATAATCTTTTCTCTCTATTCTTTTAGTATAGTTTTAATATAATATAATATAATGTAATGTAATGTAATATAATATAATATAATAATATACCAGCCTTCTGAAAACATGGAGTCAAGCCTCATATCTCCACACTTGGTGCTTCCATGGGGTGTTCACAGCATGGAAGCACCAAGTCTGAAGGATTTTTGGGAGGGATGTGCTCTCCAGTGTTGGGGTTACTCCACAGAAAGCATGTTTGCAGCTCTCATTCTGTACCAGCAGCCTGCCTGATGTGTTGCCTTTGGAAATGTAGAATTGAAAGCAGGTTGTGTGATACAAAATGCAAGAGAGCTTTCCTAATGGCTTCACTCTTAGCCCAGTGTTGTTCCTTTGAAAGGGAAGTGTTAGTCATACATGATTCATAGGCTCTTGTTCTTGAAAATAGAGCACCTGAGTCAAGTGAGTGTTTGCTTCCTAGTTAAAAGGGATTGGCTAGAGGAAAAATGCTTTTTCAGCATTAGGTCACAAAAGTCACCCTGAACAATTAGCACAACCCTCTGTGCTTTTCTGCATTTCTGAGCAGCAGGGGACAGAATCTGTATTATAGACCCCTATCAGTGTCTAAAGATGCCCTTGCCAGAGAAAATGGAGTGTATTTCCCCATGCTACCCTTGTCTAGTTTCCAGACTTCCTATGTCCAGAGTGCCCAGTGGGAGTGCCCCGTGTGCCAGGGCTGCACAGCTCTGGGTGGAGTGCACAGCAGGTGCTGTCCCCCCTCCTGCTGCAGAGAGGTGACAGACAAGCCAGGACTTTCTGCCAGAAGACTGAAGAGTAATTTGGCCCAAATCAGGAGGGAGGGGCTGGCCTGGAAATATTTGAGGCAGGGTGGAGGACAGAACAGGAGAGGGATAGGTCAAGTCAAGAAATCCAGCTGTGGTGAATTTAACTGAATACATTTCATATTCTTGAGTTGTAATCTTGAGTTGCTGGTCAGTGGCAGATCAGAGGTTGCCCTGGCTGTGCAGGCATGCTTGGAACACGTGTGTAATGCACCCTTGTTTTCCTGTCCAGGATCACTGCCATTACCAGGGGTTCGTGGAGGGCACTCTGGATTCCCTGGTGGCTGTCAGCACTTGCTCGGGGCTCAGGTAGCACAACTCCTCCTTTGTGTCCCTGCTGTCACTTGGTGGCTGCTGAAGCCAAAAGCCAGTTCTGCTGCTTCTGACAGGGAGTCACGGGCTGCCCTGAGCTGCCTTGGTGCTGCTGTCCTGTGGCATCTTTTATTCAGGGACTTCACAGATATTTGAAGTACCATCAAATAAGTTATTACTGCATTCTGGTAACATTCTGCATTAAGTTGGTTTTGATGCATATTTGGTTTATTTTTCAACTTGCACAGATAGTCATGACAGCTGTGCCTGTTGCAGAAGTGGAATGTTGAACACTAGTCTCCACATTTCACAAAATTGGCCCTAAACCTTATGCACCTCAAGTTTGATAGAATTGTTTTCTACTGTGGGCTAATTGCCATATATTCTGTGCTATTGATTTTTTTGCAGGGCTGTGTCAGCCACCAGAGTGGCAATAATGTATTTGAACTAAAGCATTTCTGCTTGAGACCTGTGATGTAATTCGTGGGGCATTGCAGAGCCTTACAGAGGTATTTAATGTCCTGCATTTGTAAGGCCCTGCTCAGTGAAAGGCTGCTGCCAGGCCTGAGGTGAAGTGTGCTGCTTGACAAGATCTGAGGTGCAGGCAGGTTTTGGTTATCCAGGAATAACTGTTCCTTTGTTTAGCTGTAAAAATTCTGGGTAACTGTCCTATGTGCTCAGTGCCAGATTTCTCACACCCTACCTTATTTTAGGGGTTTGGTGACAATAGGGAATGTCACCTATGGCATTGAGCCCATGGATCCCTCTTCTGCCTCTAAACACATTCTGTATCGACTGGATAATGTGAAGAAAGAGCCCTCAGCATGTGGAGTAACCACTGGAGACCAGGAAGGGGAACATGCAGAGGGAGATCTCCATCCCACTATGACCCAGCTGCTGAGGGTAAGTCCTCCCCAGTCCCACATAAAGGGTTTTGTGAGCTCATTTAAGAGTGTGCAAGCAGCTTATCAGATTTCCTGGGACTTAGCACATACCTAAAGGTTTGTGGTCTGGGGGGTTTGCACTGTGGGACAACTCACTTTCTTCCCCAAAGCAGCCACAGTCTCCTCCTGCTTCTGCACATGGCAATGAGGGTGGGGCAGCTGATTAGAATATTCCCAGGCTTTTTTGGGAGACTTCTAAGGGCAGAATATTGTCATGTTTATTCCATCCTCCTCACCATCACAGTAGCAGTTTGGTGTGAAGTCCCTCTTGTCCTTCACGGACTGTACAGGAACAAGATTGAAAAAATGTTGTGTTTCACATCCAAGTCATTGGTATTTGCTGGTAGAATCTTTTTGCCCCTTTATCAAAGTGTGTGGTGACTTTCCAAAGCAAGCTGTGCAGAGGTCCCTTGCCTTTGAAACAAGGGGAGTCTTTGTGCAGCTGAGTTTTAGTGTAAAACACAGAGACTCTCATTGCATTGGATTACACTGCTTGGCTTTGGCACCGTGTGCTTTGGGTGTGTCTCAAACCACTGGTAGTATCAAGTGAAATATGACAATGTCATGAGGGGTTTTTTTGTTTATACTTGAATTAATAAATCTGAAGCTGTCTAAAACACTTTTTTTTTTTTCCCCAGAGAAAGAGGGCGGTCCTGCACCAGACAAGATATGTGGAGCTGTTCATAGTTGTGGATAAAGAAAAGGTGGGAGTTCTGTGTGGCTTTCCTTTTTCTTTCTCCTCAGAAGAGGGCCTGGAAAACCCTCGGGTTTCATTACTCCCAAATGGATTGTTGAAAAACACTTGACAATTTATTGTGCAAATATGCCACCCTGGAAGTGGATAAATGTGTGCAATGCAATCCTCCTCAAAAAAGGAATCAGCCATCAGACAGGGAGAGGTTCTGTTAGCAAGGAATCTCCTGATGTAAGGAAATCCTGTGGTAAAAACTGCCTTTGCTGTTGTCTTTGGAATACTGAGCTGCTGAGCAGTACCAGTGAAGATGTTGCTGAATTGATTTGTATCTTCTGGGAGATTTGGAGCCAGGCAAAAATGTTCTGTTCCTTTTCCTAACTGTTGTCTCTTCTCTTCTGAAACTAAGTTTCTTTGTCTTGCAGTTTGAGGATTTTGGGAAGAGTGAAACAGAAGTAAGAGAACATATGGTGCAGCTGGCAAACTTCCTTGACAGTGTGAGTAGGAGGGATGCTGTGTGCTGCAGCCCTGCTGCCTTTTGGAAGTGTCCACCTTGGGGTGGGTTCTGGTACCACTTTGGGGAATGCATCCCCATGGAAGCTTTTCCACCTCTAAATTCATCTGCACTTATCCACCTTGAAAATTAATTAAGGAAACTCTTCCAACCTGTGCTATATCCAGTGAGTGACAGGACAGATTGTTGCAATTATTGCAATTCTTATGTCTGTGTAAAGGTTAGAGAAAAAGCATGTCTGTAACTCCACTATTTCACATGATATTTGTCAGAATTGATTCTTCTTTTTATTTCTGTTTGGTATTGTCTTACAATGTAGTCAGTGTGACATTTAAGCATTGATCCTGTAGCTAATAAAGGTCTAAATCACAGGGAAAATTCATTCTGGTGGTTCCAGTTGTGTACTAACTATGAAAAAAAATCCAAACCCACACAGAAAATATGGGTGCTTGCAATAAGATCCAAAACACCACGCCACTTGTTTTTGTCTGGAGATATTAATGACTATTTCTCCTCCTTTTTCTCCCCAGATGTACGTGATGTTGAACATCCGCATCGTGCTGGTTGGTCTGGAGATCTGGAAGCACGAGAACATCATCAGCACGGACGGGGGGGCTGGGGATGTGCTGGCCAACTTCGTGCAGTGGCGAGAGAAGAACCTCGTCCTGCGCCGGCGGCACGACAGCGCCCAGTTTGTGCTGTGAGTGCAGCCCCTTCCCTCTGCTCCCTGCAGGGCCATTCTGTCCCTGCTCAGCCCGCCTGTGCAGCAGGCACAGGGCCTGCAATGCCTCCGTGGTGTTCAGCCATGATCGGAATGTCTCCCCAAGTCACTGTCTCAGCCGTGACAGAAGTCTCCCAAAAAAGTGCCTGTGCAGCAGGCACAGGGCCTGCAGTGCCTCCGTGGTGTTCAGCCATGATCGGAATGTCTCCCCAAGTCACTGTCTCAGCCGTGACAGAAGTCTCCCAAAAAAGCCTAGGGATATTTTAAGCAGATAGAAAATGCCTAGGCATGATGACTTGTTCAGCCATGATAGGAATGTCTCCCCAAGTTACTGTCTCAGCCGTGACAGAAGTCTCCCAAAAAAGCCTAGGGATATTTTAAGCAGATAGAAAATGCCTAGGCATGATGACTGGACCTAAGAAGCCCCTCTCTTCCACCTTTGGACCCTTGTTATCTCTCTGTAAGACTATAGGTCACATTCACCTCGACCCTCACCATTGGATAGTTTGCAAAACTCCTGTACCCTATAAAAACCCTATTTTGCCCAGTTTGATAGAAGAGCTGTCCCTGAGACCTTTGCAGAAGACCCCAATGAAGACATCTCTGTGGAACCTCATACAGTCTTCTCCTCTCTCTCCCTGCCAAAAGGCACTTAGCAAGCTAAAGAGCTGAAATCACTAATGAGCTGATAATCACTAAGAGCTGAGCTTGCTAAGACTGCCTGTGGCTCTGGAGCCTGCCTGAGGGGGCTGGACAGGTCGTGCTGAATTGGACTTCTCTGTCTTGGTTGGGTTGGGGAGACCCCAAAACCACCAGAGTCACCTCACAGCTGTAGTGCTGTGCTCCTTACAGGCAGAGGGATGATGTGGAAGAGGCTTTCTCTGTAAACACTTGTTTTAAATTAACTGAGTAAAGGAATCTTGAGCAGACATCAAAAGCTTAACTGATGCCATTTGTGCTTGCAGTCAGTAGCAGTGCTCCCGTGTCAGCCTGGGAAAGATGGAGCAGCAGGGTTTGTGCCCCACAGGCAGGAGTGGTGCTCTGGACTCTTTGTGTCTGTACAGACAGATGATGGCCTTTCCTTTCTCTTCATGACTGCAGGAAGAAGGGTTTTGGTGGCACAGCTGGAATGGCCTATGTGGGAACAGTGTGCTCCAAGAGCCATGCAGGAGGCATTAACGTGGTGAGATTTCTTCAGTGGTCTCTGAATGTGATTGAAGTCAGAGTTTGCACTCTGAAAGTCTTCCTGGAAGCACAGTGTCTTTCTTAACAAAGCTGCAATGGCTTAGTGGGGCTCTTATGTTGTCCACAACAATTTCTGACACTTCCAAGGTATCTGGATCACAACTTCTCTGTAGTCTTCTGCTCAGCTTCTCCTCTGTTCAGTGTGCAGTACTCATGCAAAAGGATTTCTCAAGAGAGGATTTCTGTGTTGTTTTAAGTATCTCTGCCTCAAAAGTGGGAGCTATGGGTGTTTAGCTATGGGTGTTCCTGTAGCTGTGACCTCCCTGAGTAGTGCTGGTTCACTGCATGTTTTGTATGGAGCTGCAGAGCCTTAATGAACCAAGCTGCTGGTCTCAGATAACTTGCAATCCCAGAAATCTGGCTTTGGACCAGTGACAGAAGTGCTGGAATTTGCACATTTCAGGAGAATTTGGCTGATGTGGAGAGTTCTAGTTTTTGTCTTAATGTTGCAGCTGCTCTGGAAAGTGGAGGTTGTTGGGTAGTGTCCCAACAACAGAGGAGTTTGTCTGAGGGCTCTTACTGCTAAGCAAACTCCATGCACTTGGTTGGAAATGCAGCACTGTTGGTCTGAGAATGCTGATAATGTAGAGACAGAATGGCAAAAGGTTCTCCTTGGCACAGCAGTTAGCATTGACTGTGTCAGTATAAGCTGTGTGCTGACTGCCTCCTGTGTCACTCCTGTGCAGTTTGGAAGGATCAGTATCCAGATGTTTGCCTCCATCATGGCTCACGAGCTCGGCCACAACCTGGGGATGAACCATGACGACGAACGAGTCTGTCACTGTGGGGCAAGCAGCTGCATTATGAGCTCTGGAGCATCGTAAGTAGCTGCCCAAGGGAAGGCAAAGAGGGCTCAAAATGCCCCATCCATGTGCTTTGTTTTTCTGGATTACTTTCACCTTCAAATTCCCCTTGCAAAAAGTGTTGTGCTTGTAATGGGGAAAGCAAATGTCCCCCTAACCCTAACACAGGGGATGCTGGCTTGGCTTGGTGTAAAGCTCAGCTCATTTTCTCCATTGCAGGGGATCCAGGAACTTCAGCAGCTGCAGTGCAGAAGACTTTGAGAAGCTGACACTCAACAAAGGTGGGAGCTGCCTGCTCAACGTGCCAAAGCCTGATGAGACCTACAGCGTCCCCTACTGCGGGAACAAGCTGGTGGATGCTGGGGAAGAGTGTGACTGTGGCTCACCAAAGGTTTGTAGCTGTGTGTTTTCCCAGCAGTGCCAGGGCAGTCTTGTTCCCCCCGCTCAGAGGGGACTGTTTGTGACAGAGGGGGAGGTTTTGTGACATTCACAGCCCTTGTGTCCTCAGGAATGTGAAAGCGATCCGTGCTGCGAGCCAGGAACTTGCAGGCTCCGATCCGGTGCTGAATGTGCCTATGGTGACTGCTGCAAGAACTGCCAGGTAGGAGACTCTGGTTGGGAAGTTGAGAAAAGGAGAGCGTTGGCTTAGTCAGTGCATCTGTGAGAGGGAGTTGTCCTGTGTGCCCACAGTCACACGAGGACACACAGCCCAGAATTCAGGTCTGTCCCTGGTTTGGGGCGTATCGTGGGTCAGGTGCAGCGCCAGTTTCTGCTGTGAGATTCCTGTTTTCTGATGCAGTTTTCCCTCCCCTCTCTGCTCAGCTCCTTCCTGGAGGCACGGAGTGTCGTGCCAGTACCAACGAGTGTGACCTGCCGGAGTACTGCAATGGCACCTCCCAGTTCTGCCAGCCAGACTTCACGGTGCAGAACGGGCACCCCTGCCACAACCAGGAGGCCTACTGCTACAACGGCGTGTGCCAGTACTATGATGCTCAGTGCCAGGACATCTTTGGCTCCAGTAAGGAAGTTACAGTCTTCCTAAGAGATGTGACTAAAGATATTTAAAATATATTTATTTGCTTGTCACTAAAGAGACCAGCTGGCTTTGGCAGAGTATTTGGAGCAGTGGTAGTAATGGTTTAGCATCATGGTCATGCATTTTTCCTGTGTTACACTTAGTTCTGTGCTGGGGATCCAAGTCTTAATTTTGTTGCACTTATCATTTTTGGTACAGTGGGGTTTCTGCTCTATAGGTCTGTAAAGAAATATCAAGTGTCAGAGCTGACTCAGGTTAAGTAACTATTTTTCTCCATTTTTAAACTTGTAATCTTGTATTTGTAATTCTGTGACCTGTTTAGTGTTTAGACCAAGTTCCTAAGGTCACTGCTGTATGGCAAATACTTGGTGTAGCAGGGTAGTTGCTGTGGGTACAGGAGATCTGTGTGAGATGTTTCTGTGCCTGGGTAACGTGGCTCCTCTCTCTGGGGATGGGCTGTTGTTTGCAGAAGCCAAAGCAGCCCCCAACATTTGCTTTGCTGAAGTGAATTCCAAGGGGGACAGATTTGGCAACTGTGGTTTCCACGGCCATGACTACAAGAAGTGTTCCAGCTGGTGAGTTGAGCCCAGTGCATTGGGAAGTTCTGAAATACACAGCTGGGAATCTGTATTTGGGTGCTGTGGTGTCAGTTTGGGGTGTTGTAGGGGGTTGCACAGGGCAGGGATGCAGGGCTGTGGTGAGAAGAGTGTTCCACATCTCCTGTCAAGGACTGTGCTTTCCCTGAGTGTTCACATATGGGAAGATGAGAAGCCAATCATCATGTTTTCCTTAATGTAGAGATTCCAACAGCTTATAGAAAGAAGGGATAAACTACTTTTGTAGCACTGGAATGAAGCCCAGTTCAGTTTTATTTGTCAAGTTGCCTCAATTTTGTTTTCAAGTAGCATCTTCCAGTAGAAAGATCGTATCAAACACATGGTAGTCTGGCTCTCAGAATAAATTCAAGTGTCACTACAGTGTTCCTGTGTTGCTGTTGTAGGAATGCCATGTGTGGGAAGCTGCAGTGTGAAAATGTGAAAGCCATGCCTGTGTTTGGAATCAAGCCTGCTATTATCCAAACTCCCATCAGAGGCACCACATGCTGGGGGGTGGATTTCCAGCTGGGTTCTGATGTCCCAGACCCAGGAATGGTGAATGAAGGCACCAAGTGTGGTAATGGAAAGGTAATAAAAATTTTTAAAATTGTATCCTAATGTAATAATTTGGGGTATTCATGGGAATAAAATTTTCAGCTGCACTGTTTCGTGAATAGTTATGACCATTATTTTTGGATGCCTGTAGTTAATGTGAAATTAAATGAGTCCACTGATTTCCCCCCACTGCCCAGTACTGCATCAAACCTTTAATGAGCCTTTCATTTGCAGGTGAAGTGAAAGAAATTGAGTTTATTGAGAGCCAGAAACTTTGCTCTGTCAATGAGCAGGAAGAGCCAGGCCCACACCAGTGCCTGGAAGACAACTTTCAATTAAAATCCAACTAAACTAAAGAGTGCAGAAGCTTAGCCCTAGCAGAGGAATGTGCATTCCACATGTCCTTACTGGGCACAATTTAATTGCTGTTCCTTTACATTCAGACTGGAGACAAAAGGCTCCAGTGCCAGCTCAGCCCCATGCTGAGAGGCCTTTTGTGGAGCAGAGTTTCTGCAGAGTTTGGAATTATCAGTGAGAGTGTGTGAGGCTTTGTGGCAGCAAGCACAGCGTGGCTGTGGGCTAGGAGCAGGGAGCTGGGCAGGCAGGGGGGCACTGAAATGCCATCATCCCTCATCTGTGTGCATCTCTGTTCCCCAGATCTGCAGGCACTTCCAGTGTGTGAGTGCCTCTGTCCTGAACTACGACTGTGACGTGGAGAAGCAGTGCCATGGGCATGGGGTAAGCAGGGAAGAGAGGCAGCAAACTTTAAAATTGTGATTAGTGACTTTATTTTTCTGTTTTGTCCAACTGTAAAACTCTCTATAAAATGCTTCTAGGCAAGAGAACCTGTAACAGTGTCAAAAAAATCTTTTGACAAAACTCTCTGCCAGGCAAGAATTCCCAATTCCAGTATTGCTAATGAAATTTGACTCTGCATCTCACAAAGGAAAAAAACAAACAAAAAAAACCAAGCAAAAGCCATGGTGTGTGAGCTGTTGGGATAGCTAATCCTTGGAAGCTCTTCCTGAACAGTGCTGTGTGTGCTCAGTCATGTGAAATCTTGGGATGCCTGGCCAAGGACTGCTTGGAATTGGCTAAGGAGTTACTGGGTAAAATTCTCCAGGCTGAGCAGTACGAGGGGCAGAACAGGTCATGGCTGCTGCAAGCAGATTTAAATGCCCAGAAATGAAATTTTACTGAGTATTTGTGTTTTGGAATACAGGTGTGCAACAACAACAGGAACTGCCACTGTGAAGCAGGCTGGGCCCCCCCTTTCTGTGACTCCAAGGGCTACGGGGGCAGCGTGGACAGTGGCCCTCCATACAATGGCAAGTGGCTCTGAGGGCAGGGCTGGGTGCTCCAGGGCAGCCCACGTGTTGGTGAGCTTTGCTGCATGGCTCTGCACTGGGTTTCACTGGCAAAGAATTCTGGCAGAGGTTTTCTGCTCGAGGAGTGGCATTTCTGTCTCGGGATGCTGGGGTCTGTAAGGATCTGGACTGGTTTAGTTCAGGTGATTTCTGCCACCTCAGAACCAAGATCCTCTTGGACTTCTCTGTATCTGGGCTGGGAAGGGAAGCTCCAGTGAAGGGAATTCCTGCACAAGAGAAATCCAACTGACAGAGCTGGGAAGCTTGCTTTGCTCACTGAGGGTTTGAAGGTGAAACAGGAAGCCAGAGCCAAGCTCTAATCTGGAGCAAACTTATGCTGTGTTTATATGGAATATATAAAGATGGGATTGGTGTAACTTCTGTGGGCTACAAGAATGATCTTGAAGACTGTTTTTCATAAGCTGGTGTGGGTTTGGGAAAGTTAGAGACTGATGCAATAACAGGCTGGAGAAGCACACTGGAGCTTGGGCAGATGCCTCAAATCATCAGACAGAAAAAGGGAAAGGCTGTTTTAGTGCAGCCTGCAGGGGAGAAATTGCTGCATATAAAAATGTCAAGATTAAGAACCCAAGTTCTTTGTCTACAGCAAACAGTGGCTGGAGAAGAGGTAGATTTAACATCAGACCAAAAAGGCAGAAGCTCTGTTTTCCTCTCTCATAAAACCTTCAGTAATGAAACATTACAGTCATGAAAAATGAGGATTGATCTCCTAATTTAATGTGCTACTGCAGCCCAGGGTACCAGCTCTAAAAGACAAACAGAAAGATGCCCAAATAAATCCTATCTTACTGGATTATTTTGGGTTTTTTCTATGAAAAATGGAAAACAGAACCATTCCTACCTAATATTCTCTGCTGTTGTGAGTCAGGTGGTGGTGGCACCACGTAAGGCTTATTTCTTCTCCATGGTTCTGTGCCCCCAGACAAAGACACCTCTCTGCGCAATGGGCTGCTGGTCTTCTTCTTCCTGGTGCTCCCCCTGCTCGTGGCTGCTGCTCTGGCCTTTGCCAAGAGGGACAGGCTGAAGAGGAGCTGCAGGAGGCTGATGTCCCGCTGCCACTCGTGAGTGCCTCCTCCTTTCTGCCCTCTCCTCTGCCCTGGAGTAGTCCATGGATGTTTGTTAAGTGTGGAGGCACATCCCAGCCCCAGGATGTCAGGGGGAGGCCCCTGCATCCAACAGCACGTGCAGCTTGCCTCTGGTAATGACAGAAAAGATGAATCCATCCCAAATCAAGAGACCAGAGACTTTTCTGTTTACTGTTATATTTGTTCTTGTGCATTGGTGATAGTTTATATTTTTGGGTCCTATCTTTTTATAGAGGGGTAAAGGGAAGGTGCCAGAGGCTTGAACAGAAAAAGAGTTGTTGTTGTCTATTAGATTTGTGTAAATATTATCTTTCTCACACTTGATACGTGCTAGGATGGTATAAATCCAGCTGAGGTTCACAGTGCCTGGTTCACAGCCTGCACAGTGATTGTGTCTGGGTTATGTGCTCACACAGTCCATGTCCTTTGGATTTCAGGTCACTTCAGTCACCTCCTCCTCGGCCAGACACTGAGCCCAGGGACTACCAGCAGAGAGGCTTCTCCCGTGGCATGCCTTATCCTCCAAGAGCTGTGCCCATGGTAGGAACCAGCTACCTTCCCTTGCTCTATTTGTTACTCTCAAATCAAGATATGAAGGCAGTTGCTATAACTTTTGCCCTAATAAAAGCTTTCAAGTTACTTCTTCACTTCTGAAAATTATGTTTCTCCTTGATAAAAAGCAGAGAGAATATTTATTTCCTAAGGGTTGAGGGGGCTCCTCAGTTTCCCAGTTCCAGTGCTGTCCCAGGCTGTGCTTGGTTTACCTGCTTTGCTGCTCCCTTTTCCTCATGCCAGAGGCCCAGCCCACGTGAGAGCCCCTCTCCTTGTCAGAGCAGTTCTCTGAAAGCCACAGCCAGCCAGAGCACACTCCTAGAGCAAACCAAGTGCTGTTGTGATCAGCCTTTCTGTGTTTTTAAAAATCCAGCAGTTTCCAGACTGCTGTTGCTTCTTCCTACTGACTTTCTCAGAGGGAAGAGCACCTCTGACATTGCCAGGCTGCTTTGCAAGCATTCTTGAACATCACTTATTCAGTGATGCAAATACTTTGAATTGGTGAACATTCTCTTTGTATTTTCTTTGTAGGACATGCATCCCAACACCTTTCCTGTCCCAGCTTACCCAGTTAACCAGCACCCTCAGCAGGCTTTCCACCAGCCCTACTACTCCCCGCCGCAGTACCCGCTGCAGCAGGCACCCAGGGTGCCCAGCAGGTCAGTGCATTTACTGCCAGGGCCACTGATGGCATTTCTTGTCCTGGCTGTCACTCCCTGGGGTGTTCCATCACGTGTTGTGTGGGAGTGGGGCTGACTTTTCACTGGGAGAAGTTTCTCCTTCACTTCACCCTGGAAGGCAGCGCGTTCGTCCTGCGCTGTCACGGCTGTGTGGTGATGAAAGAGGTTCAGAGTGCTGCTGTGTGGGCAGATTAGCCCAGCAGGTGGATGAAAAGCCTGTTAAAATAGTCAGTTTAAAAGCAAATTGCTCACAAATCTGTCGTTGTGCTGATTTGTGAATGCTACGGCCAAGTGCAAAACCATTTCTCTTAACTTGGAGCAGAAAGTTTTCCTGTATTTTTAATCTTATTTTGAATTGTGCTTGTGAGATGCAGTGCTGTGCTGTGCCACACACAGACCCAGGAAGTGCCAGGGTGGGTGGGACCATCCTAATGTAGCTCGTGGGGGGGGGGTCTTCAGAGAATTTTGGGAGAAAAGGTGAGTTTTAACAGATAGGGGTTCCCAGAGCATTTCAGGCCATTGAAGGCACAGTCTGAGCTTGGCATGTTTGGAATCAGTTGTTGCAAAAGGACATGAAATAAAACAATGTGGACAAGGTAAGAAGAAGAAAAAGAAGGGAAATTTATTTTCTGACTCCAATATTTATAGACTTATCAAAGTGCTACCAATGCCACTGGACATGACAACAGTCCATCAAATTTCTCCTCCAGAGAAGAACGTAAACCAATAATTACTTACATAAAATTGTGAGAAACTTCCTTACCAGACAGTAAACATCAGAAGGCTGAGAAGAACAGGGTGACAGTCAGTCTCTGGGTGGGGCAGTGGTGGCTGGGCACGGTGGGGTGTGGGGGCTGTGGCACTGACTGCTCCTCCTGTGTCCCCTCGCAGGCCCCCGCCCCCGCAGCAGAAGGTTGTACCTCAGGGACCGCCTCCAGCACAGCAGAAATGTTTACCTCAGGGACAGTACTTCCCTTCCCGACCGGCACCTTTGCCTCCCAAATAGCTTTTGGCTCCCCAGGGCCTTTGTGCCAGCTGACCTGTTGGCTGAAATTGCAGTTCCCCTTCTGGCATCCCGTGGCAGTGCCGGCAGCCTCCCTCTGCAGCCTGGGACAGGGCAAAGGAGAGATCCCAACCAGGAATGTAGAACTTTACACTCAGATACCTCGACCAAAGCTCCAGGGACTGAAACACCCAGCCTGTCCCTCGCTCTGTCCAAGCTTTGCCGCTGCAGCCAGGCTGGCAGCAGGAGTGCAGCAGCCTGCAGGGAAATGGTCCTGAAATCCAGCACATGGGTTTGGGTTTCCCCATTTCTGCCACGAGCCCTGGTAAGGAAATTTGTCCGATTTGTTGTTGTCTCTCTGACTGTGCAGTGAGGAATTGGAGTAACCCGTTTGCAAAGCAAGGAGATCTGGTCAGTTAATTTACAGTTACTCTGCATGGACTGGAAAGTGTTTCCCATGTACACCTTAATGGCATAAATGAAATGAGGTCTCAGAGGACTTTTTCAGGAAGAGAGATCTATTTTAAACATGTTTATGCATGTATATATGTTTATAGATGCATAATAATGCACTTAAATTCTTAACTCCATGCTGACTGACACTAAGCTGTGCTGTAGGAGCACTGAGTTTAATGCTTTTTAATTAGAGAGTGGCTAAACGAGACTCCTGTACTAATTCCCACTAATACAAGGATGGGCAGTGAAGATAAAGGTACGAGAAGACATATTCTGGTTTTAAAAAATGGGGGGCTGTTAGGTTTTAATTCAGGTCTAAAGACAGCAGCAGTCCCTGCAGAACACTGGGAAGTGGGAAGTGTCTCTGCCTGGACCACCAGAGCTTCTCTGAGCGCTTTAAATGGGAACCTGGTGACTGATGCACCCCATCCTTTAACAGCCAAGCCCTTGTGGTGTCAGTCTGGATGATTCTGGGCTGCTGTGTGTCAGACTAGGCTGCCCTCTGCTCCTGCACCATGGCCTAGACTGAATTTTGGATCTCCTCATGAGCAGAGGTGCTCAGCACCAACTGTGCTAGAAGAGGG